GCCAGCGAAACACACACAGTTGGGAAGACGCCAGGACCCCAGATAAGCCTCAACAATATCAGATAAGTCACGATTTATTTCAACATTTGCTGTGCTCAACCTCCCTTTTTAAACACTGTGTTCCAACTGCAGCTAATGAAGGGAATCAGGGCCCTTTCCTCCCCCGTAAGCCACACAACTCACATTGTTCCCTTCTGCATTCCTCCCTGCATGCCCTAGGCTGAAGAGAGTGTGGGCCTGGGTCTTCCTCTGAATTCCCTCTCCCTTGCTCTACCTCTTCCCTGCTCTGCTCAGCTGGACTTTGCCCTTGCCCAGTTTCTTCCACAGCCAAAGGAGCCACACTCCCAGTTCCTGTCAGCTGCTCAGCCTCCCCCTCAGAATCAGATTCTGACAGGGGCATGACACATGCCATCTTCAGCATACCTTGCTTGGCTGGCACCCTGCCCTAAAATGCAGGGTGGGGGGAAGGATATTGAGAAAGTAGGAAAAGGGCATGGGGAGGAAAAGGGGGAATGACAGGTTGACAGGAACCAGAGGTGTCAATCCAAAATGAATTGGTTGATCAAGAATGAATGCAAAACTCCACCAAAGAGGCACCAAACCTCAAAGCCATTCCCAAAACATCCAAAACAAATGCTGTTGGACACTGATGGACTGGTCAAAGGGGAAGGGCTGGGGAGATGGGAAAAATACATGCTTTTTGCAGGAATATTAGAGCCAGCTTTGCTTACACTGTAACCAGAGGTGGACTGCTGGGGGGTCGCAGGGGTTTGGGAGAGCCCCTAGCTAAGATTCTGTGCAGTTCAAAGAACCCCCAAATCCCACTCCTGGCTGGCCCTGCCCTCCCCTCCTCTCCCAGGAGTCCCCAAGCAGCAGGGCATGCATGGAGGCTCAGGGAGGGCAAAACATGGGCCTCCTGGAAGTTTGGGAATGCCAGAAATGGGCCCATTTCCGGCTTCTAGAGAGCCTCCGGAGGCTCGAGGAAAGCCTCCAGAGCCTGGGGAGGGCAAAACATCCCCCCTACTGTGGTGCAGGAGGCCAACTAGGCCATGTCCATCATGGCCACGCCCACCCGGCAACCAGGCAGAGAACCGGTTGCTAAATTTTTTGAAGCCCACCCCTCAACTTCGTAAAAGTGAACCCTTCACTTTACCAACAAAATTCTATGTTCCTAACACACTGCTTTATGTAGCTTTCCACATATGATGAGCTAGAAAAAACCTACAAGTCTAAAAATAACACCTCTCCTTTATGAAGGCAGGGATTGACAATAGGAGATACCGATCAATGCCTATGTTCTCCAACCCAGTAAGGAGGAGTTGATGTTATTTTCCTTTAAAGTGCTTTTAAGATTCAGTTGTGTTGTGCCCTGGTTCCCCAGGCTGAGTCCCTGCTTTTTTTGATAATTGCTGTGGTGAGCAATGAAGCATAAAGGAAGATAAACATTCATTGCAGATGGGGAAAGGCAATAACACACACACAAAAAGAACTCTTTCTGTGGGTTATCATAATTTGATGGATTCTAGTCAAAAATGCCATGTGATCTGCATTCTGATCCAATACTTTGCCACCCAGAAAGGAGAATGTGAATTCTAATTTACCTCAGAGTTGGCTAGCCAAATTCCTCCCATTTTGCAATGATGGGCTTCTGGGATAGAATAGAAACTAGGAATATTCAGGGGTTCCTTTGGTGCCCACCACACTTTCCCTGCCTCACCTTTCTGAATGTTTTTATAAAGATGATGCTAACATTAAAAAAAATATATAAATGGGAAACTGGAACGTAACAAAACAGTTTTCTGTGAAATTATCTTTATTTTCACAATTGCTTCTGATCTCCACATCAGCATTCTTTGAAAATAAACACCATTGAGATATACAGCCTAGTTTTCTGTTTGGAAGAAAGGCTGGATAGTGAAAAGCATTTTCATCCATTTTCCCCCATCCCTTCCACAAAAATACATGTTGTGTGAATTTTCATACATATAGATTTTGGCCCGCATTTATTACATGAAGTTTCAGATTTTTATGATAGCATGACTTTCATAGTTTTTAATAGATCACAGGCACTAAAATATTTCTCATAACTTTCATTTATGTCTTTAGTATCAGCATGGCTATCTTGTTGGCACAGTGTTATTTATCTAAGCTGTAGCACATAATAATGGCCGAGGAGCATGTACCTCTAGTTTATTTCCAGTGAAAGCAGAATGCCCTCACTTTAAAATTTATTAGCCCATTTCCGGCTCTACCAGCATCTATGCAGAGGTTGAAGGCCAATTATAGATCTACTCTATCAATAATTTTAGCTGCCCCCAACAAATCATAGCAAAGTGACCAATTTTGATGAGGCAACAAATCAGCTACGGTTTTCACCTAACCTTCTGTAATCGATGTATGAGCCAGAGGCTCTCAAGTTGTAAAAATGAGGTGCATTCAATATCCAAGTTTATGGCTCAAAAGTGCCATTAGCTACTAATTAATTACCACATTTACTGCATTTCTTTCTTAGGCACAGATCACCTCAGTTTCTGAAAAATCTGAAGGAAATTTCAACCATTGCATTCATAAATTAAGGAAATGGGACTGTATCTTATGTACAAAGGATTATCATATATATAGATGTGCACTCATGAAATATAGCTCAAGATACTTAGAAGGAAGGAAGCTAACATTGTTTCCATGTGGGGTACCTCAAAGAAATGTCTCAATTGTCATCATCTCCTATTTAAATACAGAGGCAACATTAATAGATGAGAGGCATTCACATTGAAGTGAGCATCATAAATTATACAGAGGTTCTTTTTGTATGTAGTGAACTGACCAATTGGAATGGATTGAAAAATAATTAGAAATGAAAGCTTGGTTGATTTGGTTGACTTCCAAACTGGAATAGAAGCCATTCACATGCTAAATAACTGCAAGTCAGAATATTGTGGAAGGCCAGAAGTAGGGCTAATTAAAAAAAATAGTTAATTGGTAACTTTACATGGACCACCTTTTTTGCATGACGACGCTGAAGACAAGAGTGTTTCTTATGATTTTGCTTCACAGTGGACAATTAGGAATGTATAAGTTAGAGATATAGAACATATGTGATATGTCCTTAGTTCATATTTTCATACAGACAAATCTGCTTTATCTTTCCAGTCAATATGCAGAATGAAACAGCTACCCATTGGCATTTACAGTTTTCCATATTCTACAATGCAGTTCTGTTTTTTTAAAAAAGGCATAGAAAATGCACATAGCATGATACAGTGCATACAAAAATGCATATCTTGGTGAAAGAGCACGGCAAATATAAACATTGTTTTCATAAAATGTGTGCTTGTTAGACAAAAAATTGTAAAATGTATTACAATACAAAAGATGTATCATTTTCATGGATTTTCTTTTTAAATCAAAGGATCAGAAACACTATAGCATTATATCAGAAAAATTAAAAATTGGAAAAAACCAAAGCGTATTAATTTGGTCTGATCAGAGGAACCCTCTACATGAAAAATGTCTGTGAAGGGAATGCTGATGGGAAAGCGTTCCCATTCCAAACATAAAATTTCTATTGAATGAATGAATGGATGGCAGTCATAAAATCACCATGCACCTATACTCCTTAAAATGCCTTTCCTCCTTTCAAGTAAACTAAGCACATAGTTTATTAAGCACATTGATTAAGGGTTATAGATAATGGAGATTAGTACTTTGGAGGTCTTCTAGTCCAATCATTTGTTCAAGAAGGAGACTTTATACCATTCTAGACAAATGGCTGTCCAATCTCTTCTTAAAACCCTCCATTGATGGAGCACTCACAACTTCTGAAGGCAAGCCATTCCATAGATTAACTGCTTTCACTTGACAGGAAATTTCTCCTTAATTCTAGGTTGGAAATCTCTCTTTCTCTCTCTCTCTCTCTCTCTCTCTCCCTGCCTCCCTCCCCTCCCTCCCTCCCTCCCTCGTAAGCTTCCATCCAATGCTTCTTGTCCTGCTCTCAGGACAACCTCCTCTTCTCTGTGACAGCCCTGAAATATTGGAAGATTCCTAGAATTCAGCCTTCAGTATAGTCTTGCTTCTTCATCCATCTAGTTCTCAGAGACCCCAGTTGCCTGAATAGGTCTCATTTAAATTTTCTCTTTTTGGTTGATGAAGCTTACAGATTAACAGAGTTGGAAGGGATCTTGTAGGTCATCTAGTCCAATCCCACCATCCAAGCAGAAGACCCTATAGCATTTCTGACAAATGGCAGTCCAATCTCTTCTCGAAAGCCTCCAGTGATGAAGCTCACACAACTTCCATAGGCAACTTCTGTTCCATTGGTTGATTGTTCTCACTGTCAGAAAATTTCTAATTTCTGGGTGGAATCTCTCCTTGTTCAGTTTCCATCCATTATTCCTTGTCTGGCCTTCAGGTGATTTGAAAAATAGGTTGACCCCTTCCTCTCTGTGGCACCCCCTCAAATATTAGAACTCTGCTATCACATTTCCCCTGGTCCTTCTCTTCACTGATAGCTGAAGTTTACAAACATAGCCATGCTACATCCATTAATGAAACTTAATATGATAAATTAGACTTAGCTCTATCCTCATCTCACTGAGCATGTAGAGCTCAATGGAAACAATCAGCAAATGTGCAAATGAGGTTTCTTTTATCCCATTGCTATGACCATCTTATTCAGCCCTTTCTATCTCAGCTCCTCCTGTTAGTCAATCTTGACTTCCAGTTATAATAGCTATTAAACTGGCTGAACATTCTGGCAGTTGTCATCCCTAGACATTGAGATAACACTTCTGGTTATGGAAGGAGGAAGCTAGGGGCAAAGAGAAGCTACACTGGAAAGAAGGAATTGTGGAAAAGATATGGGATATTTTGCCAGGTTGGAAACTCTTTAGGGCAAACGTGGACCGGGAAAAGTTAATTATTCCTCAGAAACTTCTTGTGAGCTATTGTGTCATAAAAATAAAACCAAGCAAACTATTATGAAATGCCTTGACTTTCTTTCTTTCAAGGGAAGGTAATCCTCAATTTACAAGCATTCATTCAGTGACCATTCAAAGTTGCAACGGCACTGAAAAAAGTGACTTACGACAGTTTCCCACACTTACAACCATTGCAGCATTCCCATGGTCACGTGATCAATGCTCAGGCACTTCACCACAGACTCATAGTTATGACAGCTGCACTGTCCCGGGATCACATGATCTCATTTTGTAATCTTCTGACAAGCAAAAGACAATGGGGAAGCCCGATTCATTTAACAACTGTGTTACCAACTTAACAATGGCAGTGATTCACTGATCAACGGTGGCAAGAAAAGATGTAAAATGGGGCAAAACTTACTTAACAAATGTTTCACTTAGCAACATGAAATTTTGGGCTCAATTGTGGTTGCAAGTCAAGGACTACCTGTGCTACGGGTGTCAAACTCGCTGCGTCATGTGATGTTTTGCACGTAGGCCATGCCCAACATTTTGTGACATAGGGCATGGGCTACACTTGGTGCATCCGACCCATGGTCCACCAGTTTGACACCCCTAACCTGTACTATGTACTTGCTCTCAGATAAATGAATATAACATTTAATCTTCATCTCAAATAAACCTTAAACATTTTCTACTGCAGTCTGAAATAGCATCATGCAACCTAGTAACAATAGAAAATTTCCTGCTTTGGGCAATGTTATTTAAAGGTAGGTTGGAAGCAGGGCTGTTAGTGGCAATCCAAATGGGGACTACAAGCCCTACCCCTTTTTTATATGCATCACTGGTGCAACTCCTGCAAAAAAAAAGCAGGGGGGGGGGGCAAGGCTTTAATTATACAATTATGGCCACCGTTTTAACTTTTTATATTTTACAGAAATGCCTCTGCGGAAAAGTCAAATTCACAAGCACTATCACAGCAAGGGACAATGACTTCAATTGTATATACAATTTCTTGAAAACTGCATTGCTTGGGATACAGGGCATTTCTGAAAACAGATGCAAAGAAACAAAGAATTCTGTCAATTTGTAGGAGTACTAAGTGCTATGGGAGAAATTCTGAGGACATTCATGCTGCATAAGAGTATATTAAATTGTCTTTTTAAAAAAGAGCAGTTACATAGGAAATACAGGCAGGCAAACCAGCTAGCTCTGCACAACTCTCGTTCTCCTGGCTGATTGTAAATTGCATTTCTTATTTTGTTACTTTTGTGTTATTGATCATATGCAAGTTTTTGCATCGCTGTGCCAAGATACTTGTCCAGGAGTGGCTCATTCTCAAGTTGGTTATTTCTTACTGCTTCCCACAAACACTAAGGCAATTTGGGTATTTCCTTTTTGCAGCAGTTCCCACTTGAGTCACTTTTCCCCCTTAGTTTTCCAACAACTCAAAAACATCACATAGAGCACTGTCAGTTGAGGTATATTCATCCTGAAAGACTGTCAGCCTTTCAGTGCCAATCTTTTCTCCAAAAGATAAGGGAGAGAATGTGAAGGAAGTATCTCACAAAATTATTTTGCTTCCAATTTGCCACTTTTCCCTCCTCTGGGCTGTCACCAGTGGGAGAGACTGTTCAATCAATCTTAATTTAGAAACTCCAAATAGATTGGTATGATGTTCGTTGAAAGAGGCCCTCACCTGTAGCAGATTTATGTAAACCATTGAGAACAATAGAAAAAAAAGTAATCCATCAAATTCGTCCAAGACGCATTCATCCTGCTGTCACATGAGTACAAATTTGGCTAATCTCAGAGGTTCCTGGATTAGGGATTTTTCACAGAATTGTTAACATTGCATCAAAGAGTGGAGGTAGCAGTAGAAGAATGATTAAAGAAATGATGACTCTGCTTGACCATCTTCAACAGATGGTTTTCAGGTAACCTGATTGTGCTGCGTATTTAATTCTTGCAAATAGAACACAACACAGTTCAAGATGATAGATCATAGATGTATATGCAGCATGCACAAAGTGATACTCCATTCTCCAACAATGTCAACGAGAAGGGTTTCATGGAGATCTTGAGCCATGATCCCCACCGCGATGATTTTGCTGCTGCTCTTTTACTCATGGTAAAACAAGGGTTGGTTCTTTTCCATCCCATGATCAGTTCTTAAGCATTACTGACATCTGAAGAGAATAAGGAAGACCTCGGAGGAAACTCAGCCTGGATATAAGCAGAAGTCTTCAGAAACATGGAGAGACTCTTCCAGAATGTCAGAAAGCTCTAGAAGTTGGTTTCCTTCCCCGTCTTGCCAAGTACTTCCTTGATTGGCTGCTGGGATCCCACTTCAGAACATTCCCACTGAGAACTGCCAATCAGATGCTTCTTTGGCTGGGGCAAGTCTTCGGATGGAGCAGTGAGTTGGCATATGCGCTGTGGAGAGACAAGGAGAATGGCAGGCAGTATCTCTGTTAATTAAACATCAGGAAAATTGACACCCAAATTAATCTGCCTCAGTTGGGGTGGACAAAGGCAGTCCAAAAGCCCATCCATGAAATTTTCATAAGGCAGGTTTATTGGAATATACATTTAAAAGAGCAGATGGGAAATGGCTTAATGCTTTGTGCCATTTTGCTTTTAGAATCACTGCTTGATGACACATGATAGCACACAATAGAATCCCCAGCAATGCTTACAGTAGGGATGTTTTAATAGATTGCATAGTTATAAAAGTATGGGATTAGGAAGGAAAACACACTCATTTATTGTGGCAATTAGAGATGAGAATTTTGTTTCCATTAAGGCGTTTGGGTTTTTATTTTCCAATCTTAAATTTGTTTTGCCCCATTCCTATAAGAATTTGCTACTTTGTTTTTACTTCTCATGAGAATATGCATATTGTCACTGTCATTTCTCCAGTACATGCACATTCATGCAATTATGGCTAACTAGATATTTTTATATTCAATTTTTAATCAGAAAACAACATGATAACATTTGCAGTATTGTTGTTTTTGGTTCATATATTGGTTTGAGAAGTGTAAATTCGATAAATGTGCATTTAAATGCAAAGCAAACTAGCTATTCTTCCATACCCATGTGGGGAAAGGTTTCATAAGTCAGACTCCTATGTGAATAGTTCTGTCTCTAATAGCTTTGTAATAATCAACAACTTCATCTTTTCTCTCTGTAATGGTCTCATGAATAAACTAAACAGTTTCACAACCTGGAGACCCACACAGGCCGTAGGACTTCACTGGGCCTTCAACTTCACTTCGAAAGCCCTGTGCCAAAAATGAGCTAAGACTCCTGAAAAATGCTATAGATTTATTCCCTGCTAGCCTCTCTTTTTCAGAACTTCCTTTATTTGCTTCTCTACCACCTTCACCCATTGCTAGTCATTTGAGAAATGAAGATTCTCATACAGTGTTGCATTAAGTCACCAGTTTTGTTTCTGAGAACCATCTGTTCTTAAGGCTCTAATACAACTGTGGTACAACAAGAATAGAATCTCCTCAGAAGGTTCATCATGAAGATGGAAGTGGAGATACTGTTTCTATCATGGAAACTGGTATAAATAGTAAATAAAATTAATGAAACATTTTTTTCATTGCGTTACCCAACAATCAAGAAGCCTCCACTCAAATTCAGAGGTCCTTGTACAACTCTGGCTTGCTCATGTAGATTTCTACCCATTTGAGATCAAGTTTGCTCTATGTCAAAGAACAAAATATTGTCCTCTCCTTACTACAGTTAACATAAGAGCTCTTCGTTTTCACAGCTCCTGATGTTTTCTAAGAGATTCTCTTTACATTCAAAGGGAGGCTTTATCATGTGAGAAGTTGCCAAATGGATATGATTAGGCCACCTCCGATGCAAATTGCTGTACTCCAGGAGTTATATGTACTGAAGAACAGTATGGCTGTTCTCTAGAGTATTTCAACATTATTTTTGTAAAATGATTATGTTCTCCAGAATGGTTGCGCAAATGGAAATATTAGTAGTTATAGTACTTATATTATTTGTTTATAGCACCCAACATGAGCCCTATAATCAAATTCACTGGTGGTGGCTAATATGTTTTTAAGGTACTTGGATTGTAGAATGTTCATAAACCATATGTTGGTTTGAAGAGTAAAACTGGGGTTGGCTGTGCTTTTCTCTGTGGAAATAATTTTAAAAGTTTCTACTTCTGCTACTATTAATTAACAGATTTTCTCACTATGATGTTCCACATCTCTACTTTTCTATTAAATGATGCACAAAATTTACTCTTGGTCAAATGGATTTTTTAATTTTAATTATTGTGTAATAACTGATGTTTTAACATTTGTTCCAGCTGTTTATGTTAATTATATTCTGTGCTGTTTGTTTTGGCCCCTGGCAAGAACAATAAACTGAATTGCAAAAAGCAACCCCAATATAAATTATGTTTTCCCCTCACCTTCATCATTTAGTCTTGTTACAGTCTATTACATCAAGCTCCATTCAGACTCAACCTACACTGTTCCATATTCAGATTGAAAGGATTCTACCCTAGATTTAATGCAATGTGGTTTTCCCCATTCCATTCCATAATATACATTTGCAGAGCTGAACCTCAGGTAAACTCCACATGCTGGATTGATCCTATTTTTAAAAAACAAAAATGTGATCTAAGAGCACAAGACTTTTTTAGATTAGACTTCCTCAAATGGAATATTGTCTAGATGAAGAATTTGAAAAATTTGAATTCACGACCCGACGTAACAGTTGCTGAGATTTTGAGAGATGATGGCTGAAGCATTGCCAGGTTGGCAGTTAAAAAGTAACTTGAAAATGACTCCCAATACTATGATGCTACCTCAGAGGAGTATCTGCAATCTATCATAATCTTTTAATGACCCCATAATCCCTTGTCTGAACAACTGAATGAAGCTAGCAAAGTGTTTAATGGCTGGATGCTCTTCCTATCACCAATGCGGAGTTTTGTTTAGCTGATAAATTCTCGTTGTGCACAGAGAGAGAAATATCAGCCTCCACCTAGGATCAAACTCACAGCCTCCTGACTGTGAGGCAAGAGCTCCACCTCTAGGCCACTGCACACTCCTAGGAACATCTGCAATCTATGTAACATGTAAACAAACAAATGAAGGTGATTTCAGAGGAAATGGCTAATAATTATATCTTGGTAACTCTACTATTTCTTTCAAGCTTAGGCTCCAAATGATAGAAAGGTACAAACTAAGGTTCATAATGTAGGAACTACAACAGGAGTAACTCTGGCATACAAACTCATGCAGACAAATTATTTGTGCCAAATAAGTGGCCAGATGTGAGAACAAACGGACCCTAGAACTGGGTGTCCAACCTTAGTAACTTTAAGACTTGTAGACTTAAAGTCCCAGAATTCCCCACCCAGCAAGGCTCACTGAAGAATTCTGAGAGTTGAAGTCCACATGTTTTAAAGCTGCCAAGGTTGGAACCCTTGGAGGGAAAGATTTGAGTTAAATTGGCAAGAGCTTGTTTTCCAATTATTTAACAATAAAAGCAACAACCCAGGTAGCCCTATATAAATCAAACTACTTAAAAGATGATTATTTTAAATATCCATAAGTGATATGTGAGCTGTCATTTCAGAACAAATTTTTAATCTAGAAATACATGAATTATGTCTGCATATATTCTGGTTGACCTTCAGTTTCTGAGAAAATGTCGGGTAGAACTTTCAAACTCAAAGAAACTAATTCTTGGTTTAAGATGGAATCATACACATACATAGCATAAATCCCATTTAATTTCATGGGATTTCAGTTTGTGCAATCTTCTTGCAGCAGCTAACTAGGTGTTCCACTATTTCTTCAGCTTCTTTGCAAAGATGGCATTTGCTATCTGCTTATCATTATTGGGTTTTTAATATGTTAATTAAAATTATAAAAAGGAGATTAAAAACTAGCAAGAACTAATAGAAAGTAAGAAAAAAAAGAAAAAATAGGAAAGAAGTCAAAAGCATAAAAAGAAAGAATGAAAAGAACTAGAAAAAGAGCATTTCTGATTTCCTTTACTGTGGTTATAACTACAAATACTTACTTTATGATTACAAAACACCTTACTTTTCCCTACAATCTATATAATCTATCTGTGGTTTTTCCTCAAAACCACAAATCATAAGATCAACTGTTTCTGTTTGATGCAAAAAGTATATACTGAAAGAGGAAATCCTCTTTTAGACATATATATAGACATTCTCTTTTCTCTGGTCAAGGAAGTCAGTTTAGCCACCTCTGCAAATTCCATCCTCTTCAACAATTGTTAGTCTTGGTTGTTTTGGCTCTTTATCATATTTTGCTTTAAGCTTCACTTCCTTTCCTTTGCTCTCTGGGTCTTTGTCTCATGTTATCCACGTTAGGTGGATATTAAACCACGGCTGACATATAATGTCATTTGTTACTACATTGGTATCCTTAATCAGTAAATAACGTTCTGGGGATATGGCATCACCTTTCTAAAGTCTTGGGGATGACATTGCTCTAAGGTTTATTTCAGGATTTATGTGGAGTTTCTGTGATGACCCAGAGTGTAACACAAACATAACAAACTCCAAAACGTAAATAAATGTCCTTTAATGCCTCCAACTTCGCCCCACAGTTCAATAATTCTCAGTTGGAGATAAAACGTATTCAAAAATAGTCTTCAAAAGAAAGCAATACAGTCCGAACTTAATGAGCAGATAGAGGTGAAATAAAAAACCAAAACAAACTACAATGAAGGAATTTCCACAATGGCCCAGGATAAGTAATTACCAACTTCAAGGAGATAATAAGGCACAGTCTGTTGGAAGGACGCCAACCAAGATAACTTCAGCCCAGAATAACACATGCTTTGCTTCTGGCAACGCTGTGTTTTAACCATCTCTCTTATATACTATTCTTCCCAGCTGCAACTAATGAGGAGGATCATGGTCACTTCCTCTCTCGTAAACCAAGTTGTTGCCTTCTCTGTTCCTCCCTGCATGTCCTAGGATGAAGAGGGGATGGCCCTGGTTCCTTCTCTGACTGCCCAACTGGCCTCTGCCCTTCCACAGCTTCCTCCACAACTTCTGGAGCCACACCTCCACTCCCTGTTGGCTGTTCCTCCTCTCCCTCAGAGTTTGACTCTAACAAGGGCATGACAATTTCCCAGCGTTTTCAACTGAATTGCATTTTGAGTTATTCCACTAAGATAAATGTTCATTTGCATGAAAGTATTGAGTTCTATTGTTCTCCTCTATTGTCATCCCATAATCTACATGTATCAGTGAAGAAACATCTATCAACAAGAAGAAATGGCTGGGTTTACACATTGGCTTCTGCTGTAGTTTATTTTAATCATGGTTTGTGGAAACAGAAATCCAGGACTTTTTCAGTGGTTAGATAAATCGTAGTAATTGAACATGTAAAATTAAACTGTCATGAATGCATTATTTATAATGCTGAAACCAAACAATTCACATTATGGATCAGTGTGATTTCTGAATTCAACCAATGATTACCTATAGTTATTGCAACATATTATATTAACCATAGTTATAACCCAAAGCAAGTTTTGAATTTTACAGGTATTTCTTAGCTTGCATCCCATTTGCTCTGTGCTTCAGTCTTCTGAGGTAGAGCAATAATTATAACCATGATTGTCAATTAGGCAACATAATCTATGGTTGGCAGTGACTGGGTTTTGATTTGTTATCATTTGCACAGTGTTAAGTTTCTAAGTTGGAAGACAAAAAAATGCATAGCTAGAAGAAATAAAAAGTGCATTTTGTCATCTTGAAAAAGGATCGAGGTGTGAAACATTTCTTAAGGATTTGGGAATTATTTCTCCATTCTGTCTTTGATTATTTGCACATATTTTCCACTTGATTTGATCAATGTAATGGCAGTGATGATTCAGAACAAGAGGCAGACAAACTAGATTAAAATACACAAACAGCCTTTATGAAGAAGTTTTTGAAGCACTAAGGCAAGGCTGTGAAACTTGTGTTGTCACAGTAGTGTCATGTGACCTATTGCGACTTTTTCCCCTTTGCTAAACCGGGCATGGGCGTGGCCAGTGTGTGACACATCTGGGCCCTGGGCCCAAGTTTGACACCCCTACACTATGGGTTTAGTCTTCTACAATTAACGGTAACCAAATTTGCTTTTGTTAGTTAGTTCTTTCATGTATCAAAAGGCATCTGACTTTCTTCCATTATAAAGAGGCACCAACCCAGCTTTTATGGTGTTGCTTTACTTTAGGGCTTATGTTACCTTGGAAAAACAATTGTCCTAGGATGCAGAATACATCTCTTTCAGTAACACAAATGGCCTGAAAGAACCTGTCAATTCTCTCTCTTATGAATGATCATGTAAAATAACCAAACAAGGTTCTGTGACCTCAGAGAAGTTCTGTCGTTATTACCTCTTTGAAAGATCCTTTGGTTCTCAGGAAGCTGAATATAATATAAGATGGTATGCAGATCATAGAAGACAACGCCAACACCCAACCCACTGCAATCCCCCACGGAGGATATTCATAAACATTGTTGTATTTGAGGGGTTGGTATCTAATGAGTGAAAACAGGAAGGTAGCCTGAGGATGACAAGAACAGACAGCATGACAGCTATGCAGTAGTAAATTAGAAACATCTGTAAGAGATAATTAAGGAGAAGAAAAAGTACATTTAATCAAGGTCTTTCAGCATGACCTTTTTTCAGCCTTGAGCAAATAGTGTCTATAGTCAACTCCGATTGAGATGGTTATTAAGATCTGCTAAGTAGCTGCTGGCTTCTGCTCAGACTTTGGGTTTTAGCTCCCCATTTTTGTTTTTGCTTTCCACCCCTGAATATAGGAAGTCCTTGACTTACGACCACAACTAAGCTCAACATTTCTGTTGTTAAGTGAGACATTTGCTACGCGAGTTGTGCCCCGTTTTATGACCTTTCTTGCCACAGTGATTAAGTGAATCACCGCAGCTGATAAGTTAGTAACATGGTTGTTAAGTGAATCTGACTTCCTTGTTGACTACCATTACCTGGTTTAGGTAATGAAATCTTTCCAAGAAAACAAGCAAACTCAGAGAGCACAGACCCCCATTGACTTTGCCTATCAGATGGCCGTAAAATATGTTCACATGACCTTGGGACACAGCCATGGTCATGAGTCACATGACCATGGAGATGCTGCAATGGTTGTAAGTGTGAAAAATGGTCATACTTCACTTTTTTTCAGTGCTGTTGTAAGTGGTCACTAAGGGAATGGCTGTAAGTCGATAGGACTCTTCCATGGTTACAGCCGGAATGGTTATATTAATCCAGAGTGCCCTGCATGATTTCTTAGGCAGCTCAGCAGAACATGTGTCAACACATAAAATATTTCTGTGGTCTTTTAGAGTTGCTAATAGAAAGGGAGGGGGAAGCAGTTGGTACCTTGCATTCCATAAATGTTTTCAAAGATAGTTTCTAGGTGACCGAACTTTCTGCCATGCAAAATTCTAACTGGAGAGCATGATTGATGACTCTTGGCTATGGATTTGTCCCATTGGAGAATATAAATTATGATACACCCAGGGGGTGGGGGGAAACCAGGGCCAAGGTTGACAATAAATTATGTGTCTCAGAGTCAGATACACCCAGGCAATACCCGCATCTTTTAACTCCCAATAAATCCTTTTGGAGATTGGCTAGACTCATGATTTAAATGGCGTTAAGTGTTGGAATCCTGACAACATGTTTATTTTGACTTCACAACACTTTCCATACAGGGATGGATTTGATTGAGAAAGGGAAGGTTGTTGTATTTTCCCTTCAAAACCTCTGATGGCTTCTCATTAAACCTGGCAAGACTTAAGGCTGTATTGTGAAGGAGAGGGAGAATTTTGTATAAATATTTCAGAAGAGATAAAGTTACAAAGGTCAGTGTTGCAGTGATAAAAAAAAACAAATTCTGCTCCTCTGTTCCTTCTGTGATTCTAGATCACTTGCAAGGCTCTCTCAGACTGACCTAAGAATCTACAAGAGGTCAAGTTTGAAGCTATGGTACATGTCCATGAGGAATCGTACTTGTTGACAAGGATTAACTCGATGCAATAGGCCGCTTTTCCCCCAAATTAATTTTAGGAAATATATCCGCTGGAAAATCCTGGTGCAAAACTATTTGAACCTAGGTCTAGCTTCAAGCATGTGTTTGAAATGCAGCAAGGGACATGGCGCATAGCTCTTAAGGACTTGGATTGAATTGCCTCAAATTTCTTGATATCTTTATAGACACAATTTCCATGCCATCGAGTATTAGCTCAGCAGTTTTGCTCTACAGTATAAAATGAGACTGCAGTGGAAACATAATTATTTCCCTGCTGGCTGACAAATCTAATTATTACATCAGAATTTTTTTTCTGCATGAGATGAAATATATTTTTTTATTACCCTTTCCAGGTATTACAGAATTGAAACACAATTCCTAAGGCATTAAATGTTAAGATGTTTAAAGATCTTAATTTCCTCAATCAAATTGTGGGTAGTTTTCCATTCATGGATGACTTTAATTCATTGCTTTGTGCATATAATCACTTTTAATTTACTACAATTAATTCCTAGTTTTTGTTCTCCACAATAAGCATTTGAAGCTTGTAAACTCATGAATACCAACTTCAAGATCTTCAAGAAGTTGATCACATCATTGGTGTAAACTCTTTTGTTAGCACTATGGGATAGAATTCAGTTTTCCTTAGGGTCTGAGTTAACGAGTGGATTAAATAAAGATTAACTAAAAAGGGGGCCAGAATACAACCTTGCTTAGTTAGCAATAGCACTTAGACTTATATACCAGTTCACAGTGTTTTCCAGCCCTCTCTAAGTAGTTTACAGAGTCAACATATTGCCCCCAATAATCTGGGTCCTCATTTTATCCACCTCGGAGGGATGGAAGGCTGAGTCAACCTTGAGCCTGATGAGATTTGAACTGCCAAATTGTAAGCAGCCGGCAGTCAGCAGAAGTAGCCTGCAGTACTGCACTCTAACCACTGCACCACCACAGCTCTTCTTCTTATAGTGAGAATTGGAACTGAAACAACTGTGCTTACTGTACAATCGACATATAAATATCTTGTAAAGCATCATAATTAATCTAGTAAAACAGAAATCCATAAATGTCTTTAATAGTTTCTACCACAATCCTTCAAACTTTCAAATCTATAAAGGCAGCAACAAGGAAGCCTCCAGATAAAAGAGTAACGTTTTTTTTCTGTTGGATGGTTTACAAAAATAAAAGTATTCAATAGTTGCTTGTTCTCTCTTGAAATGTATTTCTTAGTCAGTCGAAACTTGCTCTTTTTCTAAACAATCACTGAGTTTCTCACATGGATGTTTGGCACCTGGTTTATTAAAACATTTCAGAGATTGATCAGATGGATAGCAGGATTAGATTTATTGCCTTTCTTAATGATTGGGACTACAATAATACCAATGTTTAGGCACCCGGAAACTGCACTCAATATGTGTGAGGAGGAAGACCAACACAGAGGACTGCCATTCTGCATTAGCTTTTTTCTAAATTCTGCAAGAATCAGAACTCCTCCACTGCTTTTCCGTTGTTTAGATGGGATATGAGTTTGTAAGTTTCCATAGTTGAATCTGGAAGCCTGCTAAAAAGGGACTTCATGCACTAAAAAGATTGCTAAAATATTCAACCTATTTAATAGACACACAATTTAACAGAAATGTTGGGCTTTATGCTTGGGCATAAAGGATGCTGAACTAGCAATCAACTGTCAGAAGGCAGGTTTTAATTGCTTATAAGAATTTTCTCCACTTTTATGCTTGTGTTCTCATTATATTCTCTTTGGAAACATACAGAACCTGGTCTTGGGTCCATCTATGTACCCCCGCTTCTCCTATGTGATTTACTTCCTGGAAACTTGAAGGGTCATTCCTCAAAGATGAACCTGTAATTCATTCAGATAATCCAAAGTGATCATCCTAAACACCCTGTCATTATTTATGGTTCCCAGGTCATGATGTTGTAGATTATTTATTTGTTTTTTGCATTGCGTTGCACTTCCTTTATCCTGGAACTCCCCTAACTACAGCCATCTTATTTAAATAGTCTTGACGACATTTTATTTACCTGTAAACTTCCTTCATTTTGTGCTATGCCATCTATTGATGTAAGTACCAATAGAAGAGTATAATTGTAGCTCAGGTTTAACTGTGGGCTACTTGGTGCTGTCTGAGCTTGGTGGTTTTCTTGCAAACATTTCATTACCAAATGGATGATATTATCTAGTTTGGTAATAAAATGTCTGCAAGAAAACCACCAAGTTCAGAGAGCACCAAGGGTGTATCTGTATCTGTATCTCTCTTTTTCTGTAGATTCCTATTTTTGGCATCTCATTGTAAGCCACCTGAATAGCTCATGACATGTAAAAATATTTAAACTAAATTAAAAATAGCTAACAAGAATTACTACAGCGAACTATGCTAATAGAAAGAATTATACAATAGTTAGTAGTAATATTTCTGTAATTTCAGGCAAGGGAAATTAAAGGGTTTTTTCTACACCATCACCACCAATGCAGAGGTGGTATTCAGCAGGTTCTGACCAGTTCTGGAGAACCAGGAGCAGAAATTTTGAGCAGTTCGGAATGACTGGCCCTGCCCCCATCTATTCTCTGCCCCCTGAGTCCCAGCTGATTGGCTGGGTCTTCTTTTGTTGCCCTGCACAGGAGAATGGAGCTGGAAAGCAGGTTAATGGGGTGGGGAGAGAATGTGGATTTTATAGTATCCTTCCCCTGGAGTGGGAGGGAATGGAAATTTTACAGTATTCTTCCCCTGACATGCCCACCAAGCCACGCCCACAGAACCGATATATGTGTAAAAGACACAGTCAATGTACTTACCAGACAAAGACCAGGTGTGAGGTAGAGCCAGCAGTATTTAATCAGGGGCCAGGGTTTGTAGCCAATCATATCTTCAATATTGTCAGAAAAACGATCAGCTCCTTGACCATTGCAAAAGAGAACTTTATATAAACTCATGCTGTCAGAAACCAGTCAGATAAAGAAAAAGCCACCCCTCTGCCTCAAATTCAATTGTATATCTTCCCTAGGAGTTCAAAGCAATCTAAAACTCTCCATAGGAATCTGCTAGCTTAAACCAATTTTCTTTAACCCTCCAATCATTCAATATTTCTCACGATTCTGGATTAGAATTCTTACCATTTTTTTAAGAATGTTACCTGTTACCTTCAGGTAAATTGGATTATGGCTGCTTTAATCTCCAGCCTTCATGGGCAATGGAAGAGACATTTGTATTATTAGACATTAAGCAAATGTGAGATACTCTGAATGATGGGAACTGTAGCCTAACATATCAGCAGGCTGAGATAGGCTGGTCCAAGGAATAAAGAAGCAATTTTGTCACCTTCATGAGTGGATTATTCATGAGTTTTAAACCAGGTCTCTCAGACTTCTGTACAATATGCTGTCATTATTAATATTGATCACATATGAAGAAGCAAATAAAAGGGATATTATCCAAATCATTAGATATAGTCAAATGATGATAGAAAAAAGTTAGTACTGACAAATTTATAGAAAATCTGTAGAAACCTTTCATATTTATTTACCTCAACTTCTGTATGAAGACTTTTAGAACTAATCCTTTCAAGATGACAGACATACTAAAATGCATATTTATAAAACTGAAATGAAAGGCGAACATTAGAGTTTTTATTGAAACATTAGACTAATAACAATGGAATCAACTTGGTAGTAAATGCCTACTAAATTCAGGGAGACTTCTGGCCATAAAAAGCCCTTATATTACCCAGATAAATTGGATTTTAACTCTTATAATCCTTTATCATAAAGGCGGGCAATCCCATTGCACTAGTGGACATTTCTAATTTGTATTTGTCAAGAGGCAGATATGGAAGAGCCTGATTTAGTAATAAAATAGTGGCCGTTGCATCATGTGATAAATGATGCCAAAGGAAACAATTGGATAATTCAAGGAAGAAAAGTGCTTACAGGGCCTTCTTGTTCCATCTGAGTCTTTCTAAGCAACATACCATAAGAGGACAGTCATGTCCTTTAGGGGACTGGAGGCTAAAACACATAAAGAATGGTTGATGGAACTGGGTATGTCTAGTTTGATGAAAAGAAGTAACAGGGGTGACATGATAGCAGTGTTCCAATATCTCAGGGGCTGCCACAAAGAAGAAGGAGTCAAGCTATTCTCCAAAGCACCTGAGGGTAGGACAAGGTGGAAACTAATCAAGGAGACAAGCAACCTAGAACTAAGGAGAAATTTCCTGGCAGTTAGAACAATTAATCAATGGAGCAAACTTGCCTCCAGAAGTTGTGGATGCTCAAAACTGGAAGTTTTTAAGAAGAGGTTAGATAACCATTTGTCTGAAGTGGTGTAGGGTTTCCTGCCCAAGCAGAGGGATGAACTAGAAGTCCTTCCAACTCAGTTATTCCATTATATTCTATGTTAGTTTACAATGGCAAAAAAATCCCCAAGAATCTTCTCTGAGTAAGGACTAACTAACTAACTAACTAACTGACTAACACATTGTGTTTAAAGGCAATAAACTGTCATAAGCTGAAGCTCACGACATGTCTACAGTAGCTAAACTGATGTAGAGTTGAAATTGGGGTGGGAGAAGGGACTGGAAAGACAGGTCAGTTATGCAGGGCCAGTTACATGTCAGGTAAATTACAAGCACCTCATCAGTTAACAATGATGATGTAGGAGAGGAGCCTGAGGGAGGTTGAGCCTGAGGGAGGGGTCAAACATGTCATCAGTCATGAGTTCCTTTGTGCCCACAGGAGATCTAAGTCCAGCCCATCATGAATTCCTTATTTACTTCCAAATTGTTTTGACCGTTAGTAGTACAGATTCAGATGTAGGGAGCGTAAGCTTACAATAAATCTTTATACCCATTTGAACTGCCTGGATCTCCTGATTTCCCTGGGTTTGACAGATGATGTATTAAAAATCTCTGACATATTACTATAATCTGAATTGTTTTTTGGGAACAGTTCCTCTCTTGCTTATTTATCGTGCTAACTGATTTGCCTTTCAGTTCTGAATTATTTCTGGCCATGTCAGAACAGCCTTTGCCGTTTCTTTAGGTAACACAAAAGCAACACTCTCCCCCCACCAGTCTGCAAAGAAGTTCACTTCCTTGAGATTTTATACTTCTGACCCTCCAGAACTATGTTTCTCAATTTTAGTAAATTTAAGATGTGTGAACTTCAACTCCCAGAATTCCCCAGCCAGCAACGCCGGCTAGGGAATTCTGGGAATTGAAGTCCAGGCAACTTAAAGTTGCTAAGGTTGAAAAACACTGCTCCAGAGGTTCCAGCATTGTAGCTTCCCACATCCATCACTATCGCCTGTGCTGTCTAAGTCTTCTGCAATAATCTCAATGGATCTGATCTACCCCTGATCTTTTCAGCATAAAGAGAGAGAGAGAGAGAGAGAGATCTGTTCTCTTGCTTTTCTATAACCTAATCAGCAAAAGAAGATAGCATGAGCCTTCACTTTGCTGATAAGTTCCAGAAGGGAATGCGTTGTGCCCAGTTGTTAAGGCAACACGAGGACGCTTGCTTAGCTTTCAAAACAATGCTACTGTTGAGAATGAATATTTCCCGGTTGCTAAGCAACTGGGTTCCAAGGCTGTAGGCCCATCCTGGAAGTTATACAATCGTCTCTGCACTAGCAGTAAAATGTATCTGCAAAACTGGAGGTAGACACAGTAAACAATACAGACTGGTTTCCTTCCTTAATTTCCATTTCCAATAATAAGTGACAGTGAAGCGATGCGGTTTGAGATCCTGGCTTCCAGTTTACAGCAACTCCCAAAGTGTTTTGTAGAGAAAATTTTGTAGAGAAAAAAAAACAGGAATCCTTCCACCCTTTTTTAATCCTCACAGGCTGTCCCCTTTGGCCATTGCAACAATAGCAACAAGAAACTAGCTGGAAACTAGAAGTTTGGTCAAAGGAGTAAATCAGAATGCAGTAAATCCTCAATTTTTAGCAACAACCATCTGTTTGACAGGCAGGGGGAATCCTGCCAAGCTGTGAGCAGTATTTTGAGGCTGGCAACAGATAAGCCTAGAAACATGTGTCTTTATTCACAACATTTGCTATTACGCTTCGTGGTATAAACACAGAGGATCTGAACTGCCAAATGAGAGCATGGTTTTTTCATACCAAAACTGGGTAAGGGTTTCCTTGATGGGGGAATGAGGGAGAACTGAAAGAGTTCAAGATAAAGAAATCAGGGAATTCTTGATCATTTCCAGATGCCGTATTTTGATACAAAAATAGGCATGAATGTTTTGCCTTGCAATAATCTAAAACAGCCATCGTTATTCTGAGTAAATGAGAAGAAAGTTCTTTTACCCAGTCATGCATAGCTCTTCCCCTTCAGTTATGCTGTAAGAAAATCTAAACCCAATAAATTGTCTGTAGCCTCCTCCTCTTCCTCTAAATAAAAGACTGAGTGAGAAAAACTGAAAAAATTTCCTCAGTTACAAACTGATTTAACAACCCAGAACACATCTCTCAAACATGATAGACTAAGACAGCCCAGTCTCTCTGCTAATGGGAAGGATTTTTTTTTTCCATTTGATTATCCCACCTTTATTTTTACAAATGTTTACAATAACTTTACAAATAGTGACAGACATAGCCAACACTCCTTCTTCATCTTATTTTTCCCAACCCTGTGGTTTTTCCCAACCCTCGAAAGGAGAGAGTAACTGGCCCAAGGTCATTTCATGGCTAAGGCGGGATTTGAATTTATCATTTCTTGCTTACTTGCCTGGTGCCTTAACCACTAAACCAAAGACACTAGTGATACAATGAAAAATAATCTCCCGAGGCACTTTCCAGAAATGATGGCGGGTAGCATGATTTTACATTACTAGAGGTACAGGTAAAAATGGATTGTATTAGTAGGTAACTGGACTGAACATCCTTTAGGAAGTGGATAATTTGAATCCATTAAAATTAGGTTATAACGGAGAGACATTTCAGCCCAACTGCAAGAATGTCCTACAGAAAATAACTACTGGTAAATAATGAGTCTGTTCTGACCTTGAAAAGTACTATCATCTCACTGGTGGAAAAAGAAACCCTTCAAATTCAAATCTAGAAACACAACAAAATAAGTGCAGCTCACTCATTTAGAAAAAAATAAAAATAGGAAATGAGGTTTTCATCCTAGTCTAAGTATTATGAAGCATTTAAGAGCCTGGGGACAGCATCTATTTGAGATACTTAAAAAACATTATATAAGAAGTGCCCTGGATCAAATCAAAGCCCTGTCAGATTCAGTGTTTGATTCCCACAATAGCTACCAGATGCTAAAGGGAAACCCTCAGTTGGATTCAGTAATTCCTCTTGCTTTCTTCCTTAGCAGCTGAGATCCAACATCAGTTCCCTCTAATGCTTTAGAAATGCAAAATCATCAAGACCAGAAATCCTGGCAGCTTGAGCCAGCAACAAATGGGAGAAATGTGTGTGCTGCTTGTCTGTTGTTTTTCCTCCTCTAAAAGGAGATATGTCTAAGTTTTAGCTTCAATACTTTCAATATTCAATATTTGCATTACTTTCCTTGATATTATGTAATTATATGAAGAATAGAATAGAATAGAATAGAATAGAATAGAATAGAATAGAATAGAATAACAGAGTTGGAAGGAGCCTTGGAGGTCTTCTAGTCCAACCCCCTGCTTAGGCAGGAAACCCTATACCATTTCAGATAAATAGTTATCCAATCTCTTCTTAAAAACTTCCAGTGATAAGTCATGTTGTGGTGGCTGTATTTAAAAGAGGAAAATAACTGCAGTACTTAATTCGGATTAAAACATGCACTCTTGAACTGCATATATACCCAGTTTACTCTAGTGGTTAAGACATCAGATTAGAAACTGGGAGACTGTGAATTGTAGTACCACCTTAAGCATGAAAGCTGGCTGGGTAATTTTTAGGCCAGTCATTCTCTCTCAGCCCAGTCCAGCTCACAAGTTGTTGCCTTGGGAAAAAAGGAGAAGGAAGGGGTAGTATGTATGTTCACTTTGAGTTATTTGTAAAAATAATAAAGGGGAGATATAAATAATAATAATAATAAAGTAGCCCATCGGACTCTATGTTGGGACTCTCGAGTAGATTGAGGCAAAAATTTGACTCTTCCCTCTTTTTATTTTATTTTTTATTTCTCTTTCTTGTTTGGGGGAGCGGGGGGATAATAGTTTAGGATTTGGAACAGTTTTGTCCAAATGTCTGACTTAACCCTTGTTGTTGTTTAAAGTGTGATAAAAAATTGGGCATCAGAAGCAGGCAGGAGTTGTGTTTGTCTAATGTATGAACTGAAAAATGTATGCACCAGAAGATTTATCCCACTAAAAGAATTGGAATAGGCATTGTTAAATGAGAGGTAAAAGGTGAGATGCAAAAAGACTGACCAAAAGAGAAAGAAATAACATCTGCTCGGACCTGCTGCCTTTTGGGTATATTGGATTACAATTCTCAGAATTCCCAGGCATGCAATTGAGCCATGCAGTCTTGACACATCTAGTTCTACTGTGTCAAACATGTCTTCATTCTCAAAAGGAGCCCTGGGCATGAAACATTGCCTGCATGTAATTGGAGGCCTTACATACCGTAAACCCACGCAATGCAGATGACTTCAAAGATGGCAAGAAAGAGAAGGCACGTTCCACTGGCTGCATAATAATCAAACAGCTGGAATATGTACATCCCGCCCTACAAGAACCACAAAGCAAAAGGGTCAGAACCCAAAGCAACAAACATTAAACCATTCATTTAATGACTACTTTAAGTTATGGCAGCACTGGGGAAAAACGTTTTTCACACTTAGAACCATTGCAGTATCCCCGTGGATACATATTTCTGTCCTCTCCAGCCCAAATTAACATTTAGGAAACGTTAGCCAGATTTGGAGGACACAAATGGCAAAGCTTTGCGGTTGCCATTCTGATTGTCTCCAGGTCTATAGTTCTGAGTTGGAATTTGAGCTGAGACACCAGCAACAAGGAAACAAAGCATTCTGGGTAGAAGTGCAATTGGCCTACAGCATACTGAGGAAAACCAGCTGCCAAAACCCTTCCAGAACTCAGAGATGGTGTTGACTGAGCAAATATCTCTGAGGAAATGATGAATTAGCAGTCCAGGAAAGAAAATAGTGGGTGTTATAACTTTTGATTGAAGGAGACATAATCCCATTAGAAAGCTGTACTGGTTCAAGATTATTTTTCAAATGCAGTGTTTGAAAACCTGTCATTCCCACCCCTTTCAAGATTCTGATGGACTTCAGGTCCTACTCTCAGGTCAGGGGGTTGAATTGTAACCAATGACAGCGAGCAGTCAAAGGCCTTTTGGAGCTGTCCAGGGTTGAAAAGCTTTCTCAATCTTCTTGCTTTCTTCTCCATGCCACTTTGCTTTCTCCTGTGGATAAGTGGTGCCCCTCCTTGGTCTCACACAAATTCAGTAAGCATTCTTGGTACTTTTGAAGCTTAATTGGTTGATGCAGCTGTGTGATAGAGAGCTGAAGATAATTATTTAGCCTATTGAATTATTACTGATTGCTTCCTTAGGATTAATGTCATGTTTCTGTTGATTTTATAACAGATTCTATTAGCATCCATTTACACACTTAAAACTTATGGGGCAGCTTTCCTCTCCTCTTCTCCTTTTCTCTTCTTCTCCTGTTATCATGGCTTCATGGCATCCCCTTTAGCTCTTTCTCTCATATAACCTAGCATAAGAGTAAGAAATCAGGATAATAGATGTCATATCTTTGTAGCTGTCTCCATACCCACTATTACTCCTTCATTAAAACATTCCTTCATGTCCAGGACAATGAATCTCATTACCTGCACAAGTATCTTCTCTATTTGGTTATGAACAATTGATCATTAAAGTTCCATTTTCAAGTTTCAATTAAAAATAATACCACAATAATACTGGTAATTACAATACCACAATATACTGATATAGACATTCTGCAACTTAAACCCACTGTACTAACTTCAGTAAGTATGAAAGAAGGAAGCAAAGTAGCACACTTGTTACTTGAGTAGCAATCAGAATGGAACTAACCATTCAGTTTGATTAATTGGGGGTATTAACTGGGGAGACAAGAATGCCATATTTTTTTTAAAAAAAAATCCTGTTCATGTGTTGAACAAGTTCAAATTGTAACTGTGCACATGTGATGCTTCCATACATTGTATGCATATCTATTAGCAAGTGTATATCTTTCCTCCCTCCCTCCCTTCCTCCCTCCCTCCTTCCTCTTTCTTCCTTCCTTCCTTCCTTCCTTCTTTTCTTTCTTTCTTTCTTTCTTTCTTTCTTTCTTTCTTTCTTTCTTTCTTTCTTTCTTTCTTTCTCTTCCTTCTTTCTCTCTCTCTCTCTCTTCCTTCCTTCCTTCCTTCCTTTCTTATCAATCCAATTTTGAAACAGTACATATTCTTCATAGATGGATAGAATGGACTTTCTTTTATACCATCTTTCTTTTATCACCTTTCCTCCTCACCTTTCTAAAACTTTTATTTTTAGAACTCGGAGGAAAGGTGATAAAAGAAAGATGGCATATTTTGTGTGACCTTCTAGATGTTGGATTGCAAGAGTCAGTATTCCTAAATACTGGCTATGTTGCCTTGGGCTGATGACAATTACAACCCAAGAACATCTGAAGTAGCATCACTTTCAAAAGAAAGCACAACATGGGATAGTAATTTCTTGGAACAGCTGCCTGGAAACAGGGAAGAATGCTGGGGGAAGGGAAGAGAAGAGAACATATGTAAATAGAATGCATTTTGTGACCTCATGATGATTTGAGTAGCTTAATCATATGGGCTGACATGTTGCAGGATAGTTGCTAGTATCACAGTAATAGCACGTTGTTTGCAGTTGTCCCTTTTCCTCCCCACTGACCTCCACTTCTCACCTCTGTGACCAGCAGCAAGCCAATGAGATAGCAGATCACAGCAATGCCCAGGATCAGCAGCTCCCTACGTCCTTTCTTACGGAAGACTTCCGGGAACAAGTCAACAATGGCAGTCACTAAGCTCTCAACACAGACAAACTAGAGAAGAAAGTATGTCAGAAGACAGTTGTCAGAAAGTTGCTGGCTCTCAATCTGTTTAACTTTCTCCTTCTCTTTCCTTTTCTTTCTTTACTAGCTCTCAGCTTCCTGTAGCAATTTTAGCACATGGGCACTTCTCAACACATCCTGCATTAGGCTTGTGATATATTGCTACATGTCAGAGATTTTCCCATCATTCACAACACACCCATACCCAGATGAGTTTTAAGAATTCTTCCTACACGTACATGATCCCTGAACAGTTCCTATGAACTCTACGGTAGCAGAAACTGTAAGTTTTGCCTATGGAGGGCTTCTAATACTTAGGATTTTTCTATAAAAAATCTGTTAAAATTCAGAGTCTGGATAAAGAACTCTGCTGGACAATCCAAGAGCCTCAAGAACAATGTTTATCTAAAAGGATCAATGGTCAACACAAAACCATCCACTGGTATCGTTATGCACCTGGTGGCCATGTGTATTACACATAAATATATGAGTAAATCCATTGCTAACTTCTTACTTCTTTCTTAAAAGTGACTTGAGAAAAAACAGTTCCTTTTGAAGAAGAAAAGGTGAAAGAATCCATGACAAGAGAGCTTACATCTGCATTTGTATTACAAACAATCTGTGCATCTTAGCTGCATCAGATCAAATGCATCAGATTAGTTGCATCAGATCCTGTTCTCCCAAGTTATATCATCAATTAATGCTGGGCATCATTTATTCATGGGGCTCCTTTCTTTCCAAAAAATGAAACTGTATTTCTTCTGCAAGATACATTACATACAAAGGTAAACAAATATTCTACATTCTACAAATTAAATGGAGTTAAGAATACATTAGAGTGTCCCGGTTTTAAAAATAATAATCATACTTGACTGTCCAGCCCCAAGAAGATCAACATAAGGAAGAACAAACAGGCCCACAGCTGGGATATAGGCATCATGGTTACTGCTTTGGGATAAGCAATAAATGCTAGGCCAGGACCTATCAATCAAACAAAAAGAAGCAAAGCAATGTTCTATTAGCTTAAGGTAAGGGACCAGTATCCCTTCAACAGTTATCAGATCACAGTTCCTGTTAAAACTTTATCCCAGTGGATATGATGATTGGAGTTGAATGGGAATTCATGCAAAGAATACCAGTTTTCAGCTTCTGCATCATCAAACATGCTTACTGGATTAAGATAGACAAATACACAGTTATCAGCGGCTACCTGTGTTTTCTAATCTAGTCCCTTCTGGGTATGGGAGACAAAACCAGATAAGCATGGAGAACATCAACAAAATCAGACACATGTGAGTTTCTCTATCCATCTTGTAGAGCAAGGGTTTCCAACCTTGGCAACTTTAAGCCTGGAGGATTTCAACTCCCAGAATTCCCCAGCCAGCTCCCTATTCCTATGGCTCCCTATTCCTAAAATGCAGACCATAATTTATATTTAGTTATCTCCTTATGCAGCCATCAGCTCCTTACCTGATTCAGCCACTTTTGAAATGGGGACACCTTGTTCCTGTGCCATGAAGCCCAAAACAGAGAAGATGGCAAATCCCGCCACAAAGCTTGTGGCACTGTTCAGGAAACAAAGCATGAAGGAATCTCTGTGGAACATTCCAGAGAGAGAGAGAGACAGAAATTGTTGTCATTGGATGGTGTTAAAGATATTGACAGAGTATGCAAGCTGTTCCAAGTAAAGCTACCTTTCACAATTGACTGATGGTGAATTTGTCAATGCTTTTTAACAGATAACAGATAATCAGAGTTGGAAGGGACCTTGTAAGTCATCTAATCCAACCCCCCACCCAAGCGGGAGATCTTACACCATTTCTGACAAATGGCAGTCCAATCTCTTCTTGAAAGTCTCAAGTGATAGCTGATCATGTTCAAGAGTTGTTCCAGTTGTTTTGAGATTACTCCCAAAGCACCTATGACTATTGGTACTACCTTTGCTTTCTTTTGTCACAGTTGTTTTACCTCTATTTACATGTTTATTTGTTCATTCTTAATTATTGTGTTTTTTTTTTTTGGCTTTATTCCCCTTTATTGTTTTGGGAAAGTATTATTTGAGTAAGTTGTTATACCATTATTTGAACAAAAAGTCTACATGTCAGATAACTTGCTGGTCTTCATTGTAAAGTATTGTAACAATGAAGACACCAATTTAGTCCACAATATCTCCACACACAAAAAACCTTGAGCTTCCAATTAGATTAAAGTAGATATTTTAAGCTAAATGGAAAAATATGATTCAATATAAGGAAGTTCCATGTGTGTGCATTTGTATGTAAGCATATGAGAGTCAGGGAAAGTCCATAGACACACACATACATATGTGTACTTAACGTATATTTTCTTAGAAATATTGATCATTGAACTAGAAGAAATCCATGCAAGGAATGCAAACATAAAATCATGTCTTGTTGTTAGAATATCTTTACAGAACACATAAAATATATTAAAGGATATTATACACATAGATTAGAGATAAATATAGATATATCTCTCTCTCTTTGTGTGTGTTTGTGTGCATGTTTATGTGTCTATATCTATATTTACAGAAATGAGTTGTTATATGAAGCAGGCAGCAGTACAGAAGATGAACTGCAATGATTTGAACCATCCCTGGAAGATCTTGCATTCCAGAAGAATTGTCAGACTACAGGGAAATATATATTAAAGAATCCAATGGCTTACAAACACAGGTGGTCAACGCACAATGACTGATACTACAAAACTCTAAAAGTCTGCAGAAATTAAAAGTGGTGTTTTACTTCTACCTGTAACAATTGTTGTTATATTTGTTGTAGCTGCCAAGAGCTGTCAAGCATCCTTGGCATATGGCATAAGAAAAGAAGATCTGAGTGCCTGCATCCATCCATACCTGAAACAAGAAAAGGACAATAATTTTACAGTAAAGAAGTAGATCATCAAGAGGAACATGTTAACAGGCAATGCCAACCCCAAGAAAATAGTTGGAGAAGAAGTTGAAGTGGTAACAGAGGTCCTTGGTTGAAAAATTCACACATATTGTATCTGTATCCACAAAATAGAGAAGAATGTCCTACAGTACATATTAAAATATAGATGCATCACACTGAAAAAAATACATATTGCTGAATTCATGTGCTTTTCTAGAAGTACCGTATGGATGTGAAAGTAGAACCATAAGAAAGACTTAATGTATGAAAATGGATGCCTTTGAATCCTGGTGCTGGAAAATCTGTTGAGAATACTTTGGACTGTCTTTGAAGAGAACAAATAATTCAATATTAGATGAAATAAAACCAGACTGCTCACTAGAATCATTAATAATGAAGCTAAAGCTTAAAAATTGTGCATATGCAATGCAAAGGCAAGAGTAACTACTGTAGTGAAGATCCCAAGGCTTAGAAAAATTAAAGTCAATGGAAAAAAGAAGTCAACAGAAGATTGCTCCTATCACTGATGACACAAGCAGGAACTTACAAGAACTCAAAGAAGCAGTTATATTGGACCATGAAGAGTTGGAAGTGATGGAACGACTGATCAAATCAAAGGGTGTATCACTGAAAAATTCACAAATGTTGTACATGTATAACTCAAAATCTAAAGCCTTTTATATCAATGTGAAAATAAGTTACTTTGGAAGCCTCCACAAAAGATCCTGAATAAATTTCTCTCACTCAGATTTTTTTTATCTTTAATAAAATAAGTTTTTAGCCTTTGTACTCCTTGTAGTAGTGCAAAGTCTAAGGATGGTGCAGGAGACAACAGAAAGGGAACAACCTTTTCCAAACTGGTGGGTTGAAAAGCTGCAGGACTTCCATAATTGAAGTAGTCATTTTTGACATTGTCCAGAAAATATGGGAGCTGAAGTCCAACACATCACATGGAAAATATTGAATTGCAGAAGAAACAAATAACTGCATTCTCATGAACACACACATTCTTGAAATACCCAATAGAGGCTCTGAATAGTCTGAAACTAGAATATCCAAAAGGCTGCCTCTCTAATGTAAACGTTCCTTTGTACTCAATCAATATTATATTTTCTAGGTTTAGCTGTGTCATTCCAGTGTCAGAAGTCCAGCAAGTGAATGTGTGAGATGATAAAATACCCAACAATAACAAAAATAAAACCAGCAAAAATAGTACTTTTGTTATTGTTTTAACATTTACAAATATTAATTTGTATTGATATTACAAATATTAATTTGTAACCACCTTATGATATCTCTAAGAATTAAATTTAACGGGTAATAATAATATTTGGCAGACAGTTGCCCTACCAAAAAGTCTTGGATGGCACTTAGAAAATCTGTGCATTGACAAAATTTCCATCTGTCAATTGCAAAAGGCCACATTGCTTGGATCCACATATATTCTACACCAATACATCACAACATCCTAGGTTCTTGGAAAGAACTCGATACATATGAAAACAATACCAGCTAAAGAACTGGCAGCAATGGTTTCACACTGTTGTATATATAATAATAACAGGCAACCATTTATATATTTGAGGACTACTTCATTTGAATGTGTGTACTGGTTTTGGTTGGTTGACTGACAGTTTTTTTAACTTTTAGCTTGATCTAGATTTATAAGTATTTTATTGTTTTATTTAATAAATGTATATGCTGCCCAACTCTCCAATGGGTTAACTCTAGGGAGATGGGAGGCATCTTCTGCTTGTGGTTAATTATCTTTTGGCATGAGTCAAAAGTCACCCCAAACTCATTATGTGACTCAAAAAGAAAGTAGAAGTTTTCTTGATAATAAGGGATAAAAACATGATCAGCTGAACCTTCCTCAATTCAAAACGAGCAGCAGCGAAACACAAATTGCATCCCATTTAAAGTAAATTGTAGCAAAGTAAATTTAAAGACATAGAGTTCTGTCTGCACCCTAAGAAATCTTTTTGCTGGGTTTCTCTTGCTAGGAACACCAGTCCCTTGGGGGAAATTTTGATATTTGACATGAGAAACTTGCACCAGTTCCCAGTAAATTGGAAGAAACGTTATCTTTCTCTTGCCTAATCAGTTTCAATTAGGACATGGCAAAACCATCTGTCAGATGTTGAATATTTAATAGAAGAAACAGCAGTGCTGTGCCTTAACTGGCAGTGACAAGTATGTCCATACCTGGGTGCATCCTTCAGTAAAGCTGGAACTGCTTTTTAGGAAAGGTCCTTTGCCTTTACAATGGTATGCTTGTGTCAGCTTTGGAAGCCATATTTTACTTAGAAGCTTCCACGCTGCCACATCTTGGTGCCTGGGAATTTGGGGGGAGGGGGGATTTCAGAGAGAGGTGGAAGTTTAGACATAACAACATTCTTCTTCTAAAGTCAAGGACAAGTTATCCTGCACCTGGGAAGGAGTGGTTAGAGGAATGTCTCCAGTTGGGACAATGTGTGATTGGACCATGTGATGAACAGGTGGGTACAGGGGATGGGTTTTGATTTTCAATTATGAAGGGAAAACCCGGAACTCTCAGGTTCGGTTTTCCCAGATGTGCCAATATGACTTCTCTAATAAATTCTTACTTGGGTAAACTTTGTTTCTGAGTGCTGAATGAGATGGAGAGTTTCACTGTAATGCTGACAGCTTGGACTTTGTCTTTCAAAAATTAGGTTTTCCCTAAGTCACAGGTGTTCAACTCACTGCGCCATGTTGCTGTCAATTGATGTTTCACAACAGTTTTCCCCTTTGTGGAGCTGGGATGGGAGTGGCCTGCATCAGGCCCGTGGGCTGCCAATTTTGATGCCCCTGCCCTAAGTAACTAAAACTGCTTTTGTCTAAGGTCTAGCAACACACAGCACAAATGAACAATAACAAGCACAGTAGTCCAACAGGATATGTACATCCAGGTTGGAGAGGTGCTCTAAAATACAGCACACAGGAACACTGTTCATGCTAGCTGGGTTTGCTAGAAATTGGAATTCAGCCATACCTCCAGGACCGCAAGTTCTCTGCCTCTAGTAATAAGCCCTGTTCAGAGATTCCTACTTCCATCCCTCTCTCCTTATTGCACAATGTCTCTGAAAGATTCTCCAGGCCAGCTCTCTTCTGTTTTATATGGGCTGTTAGGTGGGCAACTATGGTGGTGGCTTTGAAATACCTTTTCTGTGATGATGTGCCTAGTAACCTCATTTATTTGTTTGGATTTTTTTCATTAGACTTCCATGGTACACTGTGATTGTTGGATGGCTTCGAAGATTACAAAACATATATTGAAGAATTGCTAGTGCCCAGGTTGAATGTTTCCAAGTTATTCAGAGTGCTACCATGGGAGAGTTCTTAATGTATGTGTTGAAATTTTCTCCAACGTAGCAATTTCCAGACCATAATGCTCATCACCTCCAGCTACCAGCACAACAATGGCTAGGGACAACAAGTGTTTAAGCCAGTGCACCTTAGAGGACCAACCCAAAAGGGAAAGTGATAGATGGTATTTTATGCTTTTATATGCATTTTGTTTGACTGGATTTATTAGGTCATGCTTAAGATGTTATATTACTGACAATCCCTCAGGTAAGCAGTTAAGAATAAGCATGTCAAATAAATCCTTCAAAGCTTTCTTTTCAAGCAAATGGTGCAATCATCCAGAAAGGAATTTGTTGCAACAGGAATGAGCATGCAATCATCCACAGGGGTCTGCTAGAATTCTCTTGAAAGATTCTTCTGTTTAAACATTGAATTTTAAAAATGAATACTTGGAAAAATTGTATGCAAAATCGATGTATCTTAGGAAAAGATGTATACAGGATAGGCACACGTCAGACAAAAAAATCAATACAAATTATCCTGTGTGAATGTTTGCATAAGTTTGTAGATGATGCAAAACTTTGAGAGAAAGGAGTAACACTAAATAAATGACAATAACTAAATGCAGATGAGTCCATGCTCCTTGTATTAGTTAGATAGGAGCTCTGATCCTCTGAAATTCATCTGCTCTTATTTCATAGAGCTCTGAGAACATCAAAAATCGTTTTGATCTGGCCAGTAAAAGGTCATCATTTCTTTAAAGCAACCACATATTTTTCCAGGTCATTGTACAAGCCTGAAAAATGCCTCTACTTTAAAGTCACTTAGCTTTAATGACATGATTTAATAAAGCTGCAGTAACACTTTTGGAATTGTGCAGGAGCACTGTGTCCATGAAAAGTTGGAAGCACATTTGCCAAATCCATTTGAAATGTGGATGATCTGCCCATTGAAATGCAATAGAAGTTACAACTCACCTGAGGATCAGCCAATCTGGAAATGTCTGGGTTTAAGTAGAATATAATTCCATCTAAAGCCCCAGGGAGTGTGACTCCTCGAATTAGCAGCACGATCAACATTAGGTAAGGGAAAGTAGCAGTGAAGTAGACTACCTGGGAATAGAACAGAAGAAGCTTCAGAGATCATTAAAACTAGTGAATAACCAAGACCCCTGATCTTCAGAGCTGTTAACAGACCCTGACCAGGGCAGACAACCTCTGACCCCAAATCTATATGAGGACTTTCAACCCATTGCTTCAGCTCAAGGAACCTGACCACAACTTCAGAAGAAAAAATGCCAACCACCCACACTGCCAGCTGGATGCAAAAAAAATGTAGGGAAAGACCTAAAATACAGATAACATCAATTAAAAAAGAAAACTCTTATCCCTTGAATGGGGGGGGGGGGGGGAAATCCTAGCCCCAGGGGTGGGCTGATACCGGTTTGCCCCGGTTTGGGCAAACCAGTAGTTCCACCTACCCCTTCCCTAGTCTGTCCTATATTCCCATGTTTTGCAGCTCAGCGGATTTGCGTGGCACGGTGGATTGCTGCACAAATCAGCTGTTGTACTCACTGGGGCTGCGGTAGAAGGTGAGTTTTAGAGCTGAAAATGGGCAGTTTTCAAACGCTTCACGCAAATCACATGCTTACCGAACTGGTTGTTACACTGGTTGAATCCCACCACTGCCTCGCCCCATGTCATGCATATGATTTGGGTTCAGTTACTCTGCAATATCACATTACCCTTAGCAGGTTGATCCTAAAAGGCAGATATTATTCACCACTTGTCAACGTTCCAACTGACGAACCCAACCAAAGCAAGCACAGTCGAGACCTTCCAATCTCTGAATGCAAAACTTTATTGAGTACATCATTTTGGCACTGATGAAGGGAAAACCAGATCTATCTAATTCCCATGCAAACCCACATAATGACAGTATAGATTTCTCCCTCCCCCCTATTAGTGCAGGTCACATTGTCATTTTATTGTTATGAGAAAAAGTCTCTGGTCTTGGCAAACACCTGCCAAAGTGCCCTTGGCTGTCATAGCTTGTCTTCTTGAAGTCTGGAGCCTGCATTCATCTCACCCTTGTCTCCCCCCTGGTTCTTTGGCAACTTGAGAAGCAATAATGGTTGCAACAGCGTAAGTGCGCTTCAAACTTGACACCACTTTAATATCTTCATTGTCAGTTTTCAGGCTGGTTATTCTATCTGTTGTCAATACTTTGGTCTCCTTTGTGTATTTAATTTTACTCCCATTTCTCATTGTGCTGCTTTACTTTTATTACTAGAGGGTGCAGGGCATCTGCATTTTTGGCTATTAAAGCAATGTCATCAGCATAGAGTAGGCCAGATTATTGATATTTCTTCCCGCAATTTTAAAACCATGCTCATTTTTTCCCCAAGTCCACTTCCTTTCATAAATATTCAGAATATAGGTTGAATAATTAAGGGGAGAATATGCAGACTTGCCTCACACCTTTAGTAACTTGGAATCAGTCCATCTTACCATATTCTGTTCATATTGTGTCTTCCTGACTTGTGTATAGGTTTCTCATGAGGACAATGGTTCTGTTGTTGTTTTTTACACACAACTGAATGTGATCCACACAATTAATGGCCTTTTTATAATCAGTGAAGCACACAATGGCTTTTTTTTTTTTTTTGTATTCTTTGGCTTTCTCAGTTATCCAGTTGCATTAGTAATAACAAGCCACATTATTCTGTCTTTTCTAAAGCCACTTTCAACATCTGTCATCTCTTTTTCCATGTAAGGCTTGAATATGTTTTGGATTATCCTATTATTTTCTAATATGTGATATTAAGAATATTATTAACACTCTGTTAAGTCCCCCTTTTTTGATATTGGAATGTAGATTGACCTCTTTCAATCTGTTAGCCAATATGCCATCTTCCAAATTTGTTGGCATAGCTTTTTAGAACATTTATTATTCCTTCTTCTATTGCTTGCCATGTTTCTATGAGCAGAATGGGACAACTCGCTGAGGCCAACACGTCGTGGCCAACTTGTCGTGGCCAACTCGCCACAGCCAACTCACCACTGTCAACTTGTTGCAAGACAACTCACCATGGCCAATCCATTGCAGGACAACTTCCCATGGGACAATTGAACAATTCAGTTCCTCCTTTTGCATCCTTTCTTTAATACTAGCCCCCCATTTCTTTGATATTAGTATAACTCTTGTCTTGCAGCAAGTAATCCCATGGTGAGTTAGCCATGCATAGTTGTCTCTTGGCGAGTTGGCGGCAGCTTGTGTGGGCAGCCTGCCGGCCTCAAGATGAAGACACTTGCCTCAGAGGTGAGGTTCAGAGTTCAAACTTAGGCAGTGGAAAATGTTTCTCTATTAAGGTGCAATGAAAAAATATCTGCTGTGAACTCTGCATAGGAGTCAGGAAGAACATCCAGCCAGTAAACTCTTAGCTCCATTCAGTCACCCCAACTCCACTTTTAATCCATAAAGGATTAAAGGGATGTTAAAAGAAAAAAAAAGAATCCAGACACTTGTCAAGCAATGTGCTTCATCAGCCCTTTCCTCTCCATCCACTTTGACTCTGGTCTCTGCTCACAGGGCATTTGCAGATTTGAATAAGAAGAAGGAAGGAATAAAAGGAATTAATAGCAGTACTTCAGTGCATATGGCACATTTCAAATAATAAACAAATGAATGAATGAATGAATGAATGTTGCCATGTGAAGATCTCTCTTTGTCCTTCCAAAAGAAATAGCACAACCTACTTTAAATTATGGTCGTGTAGCAGCTTGGGTTTCCCAGCCTACAACAAGAGCATGATGGAACTGACAGAATGGTGAAATATGCAATGTTGTAACAGCAGTACATGATACAAGTACATTTTGAAATCCAAATACTGATCTCTGTGTGCTCCTGGAATCAATAAAAGCGTGTTCTTTTCCCTGAATAGTATTCATTTGCATTTTCTTAATTCAGTGTAACTTTAATGCAATGCTAATTTAATCAAACAGACACTTTTTATTACCACTGGATCCTATAATGTAAGTAGCCAAGTGGGAATATACTTATGTGTTTTGGCTTTCAGTTAAGGAATATCAGTTAAGCTCTTGAATTTGCTTTGTCTGATTTATATTTCTCATTTCTATCCTGGCAAATACCAATGTGTCTAACCAAAAACATTAAATGAAATCAAATATTCAAAATTTAAAAACACAGATGAATATGAATAATAATGTAATAATTAACAGTTGGGAAAGAGATGTGTCTTTACGGGGGCTGTTTTTAAACTGGGAAAGTGGAGACCCAATGCAATTTCCAAGAAATGTGTGTCATAATCAGGGGGGCAAATGCAAGAGAAGAATAGAATAGAATAGAATAGAATAGAATAGAATAGAATAGAATAACAGAGTTGGAACTTGGAAGGGACCTTGGAGATCTTCTAGTCCAGCCCCCTGCCTAGGCAGGAAACCCTACACCACTACTGTATCTCCTGCTTGCCAAAACGATAGGCGTTTAGCAATGATGGGAGTACTGTCAAAAAGGAGAGTCTTTTAATAATCAGATACTTTCCTAACTGCAAATGTGCTCCTAACCGTTCATAGCTTTAAAAATTAATACCAACAATTTTAATTATGTCTAGGATTTGGCAACCAATGCCATTAGAGATTGGTTAGCAGTGTAGCTATGCATTTTACAGCAACTGCAACTTCCACGTACTTTTCAAGGATAGACCCATTTGATCCCCATGCAGTCAAAGCATGAACAAATATTGCCAAAGCCAACAAGTTCGGATCCAGTTTCCTATTTATGTATAACACCTCTCTCTCTTATCCAGAGGTAACGTCCGCTTGTTTTCCTCATCTAGCCCATTATTAATTTAGGCAACATTCAAAAGTATGAATTAACCTCTGATGTTCCATAGAACACCAAGGTTGATAGTCTAAAGATTAAACAATAGCTTCCCAACAACAACTATTTTCCCTTCTTAAACTATTTTCCCTCTAAAAAGGGTCCCAATAGGAAAAAAAGCAATTATTGTTAACAATGTTCCTCAAACACAGTCTCACAAATGGACTAGACGTATCATCAACAATAGTTTCTAATATTGGCTACTTCGACGGTTCTGGGAAATCCAGAAGCAGGAGAACTCTTCTGCCTCTAATTTCCAACAACTGGTGAAACCTAAAATAAGATGGTTCCACAGGAAGTTTACAAAAGTTGAACAAAACTATTGATACTTCAAATGCTGGTATACCTACCCTCCATAAATTTTCCTATGTAGTATCCATTGTCACCTCCTATTGTAAAAATTCTCACAAGTGAATGCAACTTTTGAAATTAATGTAGGTCTTAGCTACAGATTTTGATCGGGCAATGTAAGCCAACTATGGACTAGACTAGATCAATTTTTCCAACTTGGAGTCTTTCACATATGTAGGATTACAGTACCTATCACACTATTGTTCCTGTACTACACTATTGGCTGTGATGGAATTTGTAATCTGAAACATCTGAAGGTACAAAATAGAAATAGGTTGGTTGTGATGATTTCTTTTTGGAAAGTTATTTCTAAAAGAATTACAGCTGGGGCTCTAATTTGACCTTTTTCTCAGGTCTTAAAGGCCCACTAAAATGGACCAAATTATTTCTAATATTCCCACTCCACATAGACATGTATACTTTTATCCTGCTACTCTCTGATACAAAAAGACTGACAGGATAGAGCAAAGCAATTTAAGCATTAACCAAGCACAGGGTAACTCCTACTTTGCCAGTGGACTTGACTCCTTTCCAGATGCAGAAATAGCAGATGATCCAGGCCAGCAAGAGGCAGAGGGCCAACTCCCAGCGCACAGTGCCCAGGTTGTGAAGACCTTCTGTTATTTTCAGCGTTCGTCTCCTAAGAGAACAGATAAAAAGATGGAGGAGGTGAGCCATCTTTCTGCCAGCTCCTATTAACCCTTCATACCTGCTTCCTTGACAGCTTTTCCTCACTAAAGGTCTTTAGTTTAACTTGGCTATTGCAGGATAGACCCAACAGTATCTGTTAACCCAGGGGTGTCAAACTCGATTTCATTGAGTTTGGGGGGAAGTTCGATGTCACTTGTGTCAGGCCTGTGGTGGCCCAAGTGCTCTGACAGCAAAAATGGGCTCCCAAGCTGCATTTTCAGCTGCGACAGCTGCCTACAACCCTCTGCCAACGAAAACAGAACTCAGGAAGGCAGCCCTCCCAAACTCTGTTTTCACTGGTAGAGGCACTGCGGGCCAGACCTTTACTGTTTCTAGGATGGCCCCATGGACCAGGTTTAAGCATCCCCTGGGCCAGATCCAGCCCCTGGGCCTTGAGTCTGACATCCCTGTGTTAGCCCTTCAAAGTCCTCAAGCCCAAAACCATTATTAACACTACTCTTATTCTAAGCTACAGTAACAGAATCTTGTAAGTTTGAAAGCACTTCTCCCTCTTTGAATTTCCAGAAGAGGATTCCTTCCAAGATGTTTCCATGCCAACTTTTCTTGTGTGGGCTGAGATACCTTATGCATGATTATTGACAAAGCTGTGGCTCTTCCTCCTGTCTCCAAGGTCATTCTCACAGACCATTACTCTGTCTTACCAGAAAAATGATACTACTGGTTGTCCTTGCTATCCAGACTAAAGGCTACAAACTGTACTGCCTTTATTGGTGACAGAGTGTTGAGGGAGAGAGAAAATAGGTTGACGATACTGATAAGTTTATGGATAGACAACGGCATGTATTTCTCACTTGCCTTCATAAGATTAGGCACTTTCCCCAGAAATTAATCAATAACTTAATTAGGTTTGAGTTGATCACATGTACGTTCCTCCTCAAAGAGACAGTGGGGGGTGGGGAAAAACAGCTTAATATTTATACAACATAATTGGCACTATGATTCAACAGAAAAAACTGGTCAATGTTTATAATATACTGTAGATACTTTTTGCAATAAAAACTGCAAGTGCAGAAAGCCCTCCCTAATCCTATGAAGTATTTCATTTAGAGGCTACTGCTATTATCAGGTCACCATCAGGTTGCTTTCCTGCTATTTATTTACCTTCTCTTATTAATCTAGATATTTGGATTTTTCTCTCTGCTATTCTCAAAACAGCCTCCTTGTCCAGCCATCATACTGGAACTGCAGTGATATCTGAACTCAGGAGGAAACATAAGATAAAAAGGTGACAAATAAATACATTAAAGTCTACTAACAATTTACATGCCTCACATTATTTTAGAAGCTTTATTTCTGGGAAGATGCTGTCCAGATGTTTAGGACAGTAAAAAAACTGGTAAGAAGTGGGAAAAAGCAACCGTCAATTGCAGATGATATAAAATGCAGTGCTGCCATATTGATATTTTTTAACCATCTCTCACAGACATCCCTGGGATGGTGTATATACTATAAGTAAAGGTAAAGCTTCCCCTTCCCCTCGCACATACATGCTAGTCGTTCCTGGCTCTAGAGGGCAGTGGTGATCTCCATCACAAAGCTGAAGAGCCAGAGCTGTCCAAAGATGTCTCCTTGGTCATGTGGCTGGCATGACTAAACACTGAAGGCGCATGGAACGCTGTTACCTTCCCACCAAAGTGGTCCGTATTTTTCTACTTGCATTTTTACATGCTTTCGAACTGCTAGGTTGGCAGAAGCTGAGATAAGTAACGGGAGCTCAATCTGTTACGTGGTGCTAGGGATTCAAACTGCCAAACTGCTGACCTTTCTGATCGACAAGCTCAGCATCTTAGCCACTGATCCACCGCGTCCCTGGATATACTATGCATGTATATCCAGGGATATACCAGTGGTAGGATTCAATTTTTTTTTACTACTGGTTCTGTGGGTATAGCAGGAGAAGGATACTATAAAATCTCCAGTCAAAGGTGTTTTTGCCAGTTCTCCGAGCTACTCAAAATTTCCGCTACCGGTTCTCCAGAACTGGTCAGAACCTGCTGAATACCACCTATATACAGTATATAATTCCCTTTGAACTTCAGCAAGGCCAGATCTACAGCTATCCCCTCTAAATCTCAGGGAAGACATTTAAGCAAAGGAAATAAATAACCCAAACAATTGAAATACGTACTCCCAAAACTCGATAACTGGAGAGGTGGCATTAGTGTTATTCCCAGGATCAGAGACATTCAGAACATCCACACAGTATTCTGCCAGAAGAAAGAGATGTTTAAGATTAAGAAGGGATACTGAAGATCAGCTGCTCCAACTCCATAATTGGTACAAATTTCCATGTGCTTAGAACATCTATTCACGATCCAAACTGTCTGGTGTGATACAGCAACTAAATAGGACAGGTACAGATTCCAACAGATAGTTAAGACTGCAGGGAAAAAAAAACAATTGCAACCAGCCTGTTTTCCATAGAAGACCTGTATGTTGCCTGGGACAGAAGGAGAGCTGATAAGGTATCTGCAGACCCCTCGCATCCTGGACATAAACTGTTTCAACTCCTTCCTTCAGGATGGCATCGTAGGGGATTGCAAGACAAAACTACCAAACATAGGGACAGTTTTTTCCCTCATGCCATCACTCAACTGAACACCTAATTCTCTCAGTGCTGCCTAATGTCTATTAACCCATATACTGTGACTGTAATAGCCTTATTATCTTCTTTACTCCCCTTTTTATTGGCCGTATTATTATTATTCTGTTGCTTTGCATACACACTAAGTGTTTTTGTACCGGGGATAAATTCCTTGTGTGTCTAATCACACTTGGCCAAATAAAGTTCTCAATTCAATTCAACTTTTCTGAGTTGCTTTTAGCAACGTAAATGTTTCTGCTCCAAGAAAACTGACCCTGAGAAAGACCCTGAGGCTTTATTAAAACATCCATCCTTCCTTTTATTGGATTCCTCCTGTCTGGGGCTCCCAAACAAACATATATGAAATCCAGATGTCTCTGGAATGCAGATTGTTATCAAGTCATGCTGACTGTTGTAATTTAGGATTGCAGACCCAAACCCCTTCCTTCCTCTTCACATTTGCCTCTCTGTGTACATTCTGTCCCCCACACCCCTTTCCATGTATGCAGCTGCCCCAGAGAGCAGTTTGTAAAAACATTTAGAAACAGAGAGCACCACCAAAGCATCTAGGAGTGTTAGATAAATAAGAGGATGAGAGGATATTGTGGAAAAAGTGTGACTAATGTAGAGAAGAAAAAGCAGGAGAAAGGTCATGATGCACAGAATAGGTGGCTTGCCTTTAAGGGGCTTGGAAGTGTAAACTGGGAGGAAGGACTAAGTAGCCAAAAAGGGGAAAAGGTTTAGCTTTGGTGTCAATATGCTGTGTTGCAAGGAAGTTGCTTTTAATAAACAAGTTGTAGTAATTGATTTAGTCAGGCAAATGCATGTTGCTACAGAACCAAATGTTACTATTTTTATGAAAGAATAATACTGGTTTTATTTCTCTTGGATAGAAAATGATGCACCACATAAAAGAGAGGGAACTGACATCGGATCAGCAGTTTGTATGTTGCTGGAGTCTGCCTGTGTTCAACATGTTGACAGTTTGGCATTTAGTTTTTTATTTCGTTTATTACATTTTCATCCAACATTTATTACTTAACAAGTAACTTAAGGCAATGAATATACACAATACTCCTTCCTCCTCCTATTTATCTCACAACGACCACACTATGAGGGATGAGGGTGAAGGTTTGTCCTCTGAGTTTATGAATTGATTTCTGAACGTTTCGTTACCAGTCTTGTAACATCTTCAGTGGAGTTTAGGAGAAACTAAAGTCCACAGAAGATGTTACCTGGCCTGGTAATGAAACATTCAGAAACCAACCCACAAGCTCAGAGAACACATCTTCACCCACATCCTACATCTGAGCTACAGATATTCACCACTATTGCAAAACTAGGAGGTGTGTTGGGCTGAGGGAAACAGCTTTCATGACTAGCAGTAGAACTCACAGTCTGCTGGGCCTGGTGCCTTAATCACTAGATCAAACTGGCTCTTTTTAAACTCAATGCCTTGAAAAAGTAAAATTCAGGTATGTTTACCTGTAAAGGTAACTTTTGGTTATGTAGTTCAGCAGCAGTTTCTACTGTCATGGGTAGGAGAGGTTTGCTGCATGACACCTGAGGAAATTGAATGGATGGGTTACACCATTTCATCTAAGCGACTTCCAGGTCCATCTTCAAAGAATGTAGTAATTGACATAATAGGACTCTTTGATAGGATTCCAGTGGGTTACCTTTGTGCTATAATGTTGATTGATTAAGTGGCCAGAAGTAGCTTTGGTATCACACTTCAGCAGGAATGACTGAATATTGTTCTGTTGTTTTTAGTAGGGAAGGAGTTCTTCTCTAATAATGGGAGGCAATTTACTTATGAAAATGTTTAGCAAAGAATAAAATTACAGAAGAGAGTGTCAATGTATTATTATCAAGCAAACATGTTTGAGAGATTCAACAGAATCTGAAAGATAGACTACTTACAGCAAAATTAGAAGGAAAAGGTTAGGAAAACTTGATTATGGAATATTAGCAATTATATGCCATTGAATAACACATAAAAGTGTTGCACGGAAGCTCTGGTATCGCGAAGATAAGATGGCGAAATGGTCATGATGCAAGCCTTCCTTACATCATCATCATAATCAACAACAACAACAAACAAACACACACACACACACACACACACACACACACACACAGAGGATGCCAATAAATGGAAAAGAGACCAGAAGAATATGGCTGGCTCAGAAGATCAAAGCCAGATGCTATCTTAGGAGAGCAGATGAGTGGAAAAGAGTGAAAAAGACATGAGAGGAATGTTTAAAGTATGCAAGCTAGGGTAGTGGTGCTAAGGGTTAGAAATGTAAACGTGTTTGAGGTGTGAAAGATTTTAAAATATAGGTACTAGAGATAAAAGAGATACAGTAGTAGATTTATATCCCTTTATAAATGTTTTAAAATAAATGAGTTTCATATTTACAAACTGTTTGATGGATGAGGGGTAGAATGCTTCCCACTTTCCTAAGAGATAGGGATGTCCACAAAGAAAAAAGGAACAGGCCTCGAAGTGCACAATCATGGCTGCTATCTTGATTACCTCTCCTTATTTATTATTTAATCTTTATTATTTAATTAAGCAGGAAGGACGGGCAACCTTTGACAGTGCTGTATGAACCCCAGGTTGACCAGTCAAATCAGAAAAGCTTCACAGGAGGTAAAGTTGAACAAAAACAGTGAGAAGTTGAAGCTGAAAGATGGCCAGTCCAAACAAGACATCTCCCAATTTGGACAAAACACTGTGTTATGTAAAAGCTGAGTGAGTCATGCAATGTTATAAGGAAGAGAAATGTACCCTCTGCCTTTAAGAAACTTGGGAGAGTAAGACAGCAGGAAGACAGGAGTAGCCAAAAAGGAGGTTTGGATGTCAAAGTAGTACATTGTGAGGAAGTTGCACCTGATAAACATTATGTGAGGTTTATTACTGCCTAGGGGACCCAACAGAAACATAGGGGAATACATAATGTTGCACACCATCCTGTAAATTTCTTTCTTTGCTAGGACTCAGCTTAATTTCTAGTAGTCCCATCAGTGGAGGACTTAGAAGTTTTAGTTTCCCTTTGGTAAAATCAGCTAAAGGATCCCCAAATACAGCAAGATTGCATAATTATGTTTCAAAGGAAGTAGTGTCCATCGTTACCATCTCTGGGAGGGTCTATGAGAATTTGCTGTAGCCAACTCGCCATGGGTAACTTGATGTGGCCAACTCATTATGGCCAACTTACTGCAGCCAACTTGCTGCAGGACAAGACATACAGTAATATCAAAGAAATGGTAGAACAGAATCATTACAGGAAGGATGCAAAAGGAAGAACAGAATTAAATATGGATGGTAAAAGTTAAAGTAAGGTTTTATTTATTTTAAAAAAAATAAAATAGAATTGTTAAATTGTCCCACAGCAAGCTGGCTGTGGTGAATTGTCTTGTGATGAATTGGGCATGGTGAATTGGGCATGACGAATTGGCCGCAGCAAGTTGTCCCATTCCTCTCTGGAAAGACAATCCTCTGATGCAACACTAATTCCAGGGTTTAAAATTATCTAGTTGCACTGCTGTCTCATAGATATGTGTACAGAAAAGGCTGCCTACAAAACAGAAGTAGAAGGCTGTGTCTTCAGTGGGACATAAACATCTGGTTATAGGAAGATATAGAGGGTAAGGGAATGGCCTTGAGAGACAGGAGGTAAAGATAATGGTCAAACAAAAGAGGTCTGAGTTCAGGGTAAGAATGTAATGTGAGTAAATGTCTCAGACCTAAGATGAGGTGGTGGGAATGCATTCAATCTTCTAGGATTCTGTTAATGTAGATTAACATTAAAAATATTCCAGACCTAATGACATTTATTTAGTCGGATGTACCTTCAAGGATTGACTGACAGAAGATGGAGAATACTACTCATATTCTACATTCCCCATCTCCCAGAAAAAGGAGGTAAAGTGAATATGCAAAGCAGATTATATCAGAACACGAAAAACATTCAGAGGTCAACCTGAATCATGAGATGGATAGCTCATATTGAGCTGTCTTGCTTTATCCATTTCCCCAAAATAAAACAAATAGAATTCTGCCTAATTAAAGATATGGATAGCATGTAAGAGGTAGGCAAGGAATTTTGCTGCATCTAATACTATGGGGAAGACTCAGTTTACGCCCTCATTCTTGAGGCCAAAGGTTGAGACCAACTTTTTAAAAAATGGTCTGCAACCCAAGGAATCAGAGAGGTACGCTAAGATTGTAGAGAAGAGCTTGAAATTATTGATGGGAAAACAGTTTTCAGCCCTCTCCACTAAAGGAGCATGGTAGCTCAAGTGGTTGGAATGATGAGCAGGAGGTTAGCAAGCCCATGTTCGAGACCCGAGAGCTGCCATTGGGTGGGATTGAGCTCTTGTCCTTCACACCAGCTCCTGCCAGGAACATGAAAGGGGCTCCCAACTGGGCATTCCCAAAGCAAATGATGTCACTGGCTAAACTTGTCAACCCGGAAGCACTTCAGTACTTCTGACTCAAGTGCAAAAACCACCCCCACTAACCTACCGTCCAGATATGCTGAGATCAGAAGTGTGAAAATGATAGAAGCCAGTGACGGGATTCAAAGATTTTTACCACTGCGCTTCAAAAGCAGGGAATAAAGGTGAGTATGGGAGCCCAGGTGGGCGGGTGGGCCCAACAGCAGAGCGGTGGAGGGAACTGCTTTGGTCACTGTTGCTCATCGGCACTACCGGCTCGGGAGAACCGGGTGGAACCGGTAGAATACCACCACTGATAGAAGCATGACCATACCATCGTGACGTAAGTTTCATCACTTTCGTATATCACAATGCACGTACAAAGAAGTAGAGCTTACATGATGTTGGCATGATGATCCTTTCATCATCTGCTCCCTCTTGAGCCTCAGTCTACCCAAAGATACTTCTGGTTGGACTACATTGTTTTTAATGGGATGGGATTTTTATTCCAATTCATTGGAGGTGTGAAAAGTTAGGGAACACTCATCTACAACATGGCTGGCTAAGTGGGAAAGAAGAGATGGAGATGTAGCCTCTCTCTGCTTCCTATCCAAACAACACAAACACAAATCTGGGGGTTGCAATCCACTTCTAATCATGCAACCTTCCCTTAATGAGGAGCTGCATCAGCACCCCCACCAACCAAAACAAGAAGTTTTACCATTTTAAATGGTCTTTTTTACATAAGGAATTTGTTTTCTAAGTGAAAACAATGCCAAGGTTGTTCAATTTCAAGAAGTTCACATCTCACCACGTATGTAACGCGTTTACTGAGTCAGAGGAAGAAAACATGACATGCCGTCCATCTAAAGCAGTGCTTCCTAAACTTGACAATTTTAAGAAGTGTGGACATCAGCTCTCAGAATTTCCCAGCTGGCCTTTCTGACTGGGGAATTCTGAGAGATGAAGTCCACACAATTTAAAGTTGCCAAAGTTGAGAATCACTGACCTAAAAACACCGGTACACATATCATAAGTCCATGCTGTTTTGTCACTCAAAGCCAGTAGATGTACTATTATTACTGTTGTTATTTGCAGCAGACAATTGCAGGCATGGGTATTTATGCACCTACCTGAGTTCCAGTAATTATTGCAATTGGACCAGGGTAATACAGCTGAGAAGGAGTTAAAGAGGTAAAATAGGGCCCAAGACAGAATGACAATGTAATAAATATTCAGATAAGATTCAATCACTTGTGAAGCATATCCAATTCCTGAAAGAAGAGAAAAGACAGGTAAGCGTTAAATCAGGAAATGGGAACTGGGCAAATTGACTTTGATTCAATGAGTATTGATTAGAGTGCAGATGGAGTCTCCATCATTCTTAATGACAGAACTGTACAGAAGCTGTTTACAAAAAATACCAATCCATGGGTAATCAAAGTGTGGTTTGTTCAATTAACACTTTTTTGGTTCACATGTTCACAGTGAACCAACTATTAAAGGGGTGTCAAACTGATCAATTTGTGGGCTGTATCATGACGTATCACGATGTTTTTGCCTTTGCAGAGCTGGGTTGGGCATGGCCTGACAGGGCATATATAGCCCGTGGGCCGCCAGTTTGATAGGCCTGAACTATTAGCAATTCTAGCTATAATATGCCAGCTAAAATTAATATCCTTTGGACAACATCCAAGAGACCAGGGGCGGGATTCTACCAGTTCGCACCTATTCGCTAGAACCAGTTGTTAACATTCTAAGCAGTTCAGAGAACCAGTTGTTAGAAGAAATTACTGGCCTAATCCTGTAAGGAAGGCAGGAAGGAAACATTCTGGTGTTGCTTACAGAAACTGCCTCTCTGTTAACCCTTATTACATTCTTGGCAGGACTAGACTTCCTGTCTCAGGAACATCTCTGGAGTTTTTTCCCCCTCCTTTGCTGGAACTTTGCTTGTGTGGAGTGATCATTCAAAGTTACAATGGCAGTGAAAAAAGTGACTTATGACCCTTTTTCACACTTACGACTGTTGCAGCATCCCCACAGTCATGAGAGGCCAGGTGAGGAGATGTGTGCCTCGATGTGTGTGCTATTGAGTTGGCCGTGCCCAGCCAATAACATGGTCAAGCCACGTCCACCAGTCACATGACCACCAAGCCATGCCTACCACCTAAGCCACGACCACAGAATTGGTTGTTAAAAAATTGAATCCCTTCCCTGCACGAGATAATAGGATTCTTCCAACCTCCTCTCCAAAGTGGCATAGGAGTTGAAGGAGGAGGAAGAGGAGGAGAAATCCAATATTGGTTTTGACAGCTTCCTTGCTATACATTTTTGGAAGCAAAACTCAGCACGGAGTTTTATTTTAAAAACGGTGCAGTGCCCTTGATCTACATCTCAAATGAAATTGTTAGATTGAGAATTGTTGATGAAATATGTATTTATCATCACATGCAATTTGGCCTTTAGATTGGTCATGCTTTATAGCCCAAACATAGCCCTTGTTTGGAATATGCACAATGGAAAGCCTGTGGGATGAGTTAACTCTTCTTTGCTGGTTGTTTCTGGATGCTAACAATATATATGAGGCAAAATGGAAAACTTTGGAGAAAAATAGTAGATTGGATCTATGCAATGTAAACTATAGCATTAAGTACTGTACTTTACAGGTTTAACCTGGAAATAAGGAGAAACTTTCTGACAGTGAGAACAATCAACCAATGGAACAGTTTGCCCTTGGAAATTGTGGGACGGTCATCGCTTGAGGCTTTCAAGAAGAGATTGGACTCCCATCTGTCAGAAATGGTGTAGCATCTCCCACTTGGGTGAGGGGTTGGACTAGATGACCTACAAGGTCCCTTCCAACTCTGATTATCTGTTATCTGTTAGGACCTCATGCTTTAGCAAGGGGCTGGACTAGAAGACTTCTCAGGTCCCTTCCAGCTCGATTCTGATGGAGGGATGAATGGATTGGACTTTCACACTGTTTCATTATACAATCAACTTAACCCACCTTAACTTTAGGTCTGCAGTTTAGAGTGCAGGGTTTAGGGACCTTGTATGCTTATTCCTTGCCCCACCCTAATTTATAAGCTGCCTTATTGGTTCTTCTTTCGACACCACTCCAAATGTTTAGGCTGGCCCAGCTTGGTTAAAAAAAAATCTGCAATGTGGCAACAAAGTTTCCATCAGGGCATTTTTCAATGACCATAGTCAGAAGTACCACTTTCAGTTTGGCACTATACATTTGTGTGTGTGTGTGGTAACTGGCATAATTTGTGCTTTCATATAAATAAAAGATTTAAAAAATTATCAATATGCATTTGGAAAAAAAAATCCTTGCTTTTCAGATTTCTTTTCTAAAGTTGTTTGTAGAGCAAAACATATAAGCCAATGTACAATTTATAAACTTTGTCATATTCTGTTGGCTGACTTCCTTACGGTTGCTCTCATTAGACACATTCTAACGCGGATGACCTCTGTTGTACTTCTGCCAACCCTTCTCATTTTGCTGCATGAGATAGACCCAACGAGCACCTTCCAGTGGTGGGATTCAAAATTTTTTACTACCTGTTCTGTGGGCATGGCTTGATGGGCATGACAGGAGAAGGATACTGTAAAATCTCCAGTCAGAGGTGGTATTTGCCGGTTCTCCGAACTACTTAAAATTTCTACTACCAGTTCTCCAGAACTGTTTGGAACCTGTTGAATACCACCTCTGGCACCTTCCCATTCCATTTCCAGCAGCCAATTGGGATTGGCCTTTGAATCATATTCAGCACTGGTTGTAGTCCTTCGTCACATCTGGAAAAACAGCAGAAAGCTTAAGGAATGCTGAATTGGTTGAGTAGCATAAATAGGAGAATGGAGTAGGAACAGCTGAAAAGCTCTACTTCAGGGCTGTCAAACTCCTGACTCATGGGCCAGATGCATCACCTGTTGGCCATGCCCACTCCTGGTTTAGCAAAGGGGGGGAAAGTCCCGATACGTCATGTGACATTGCTGTGACAACGCGAGTTTGACACCCCTGCTCTACCTGATCCAAGAAGAGTAAGTTGGTGGACAAAATGTAGGAGGAGACCAGTACTCAGTTCTGTGTCCTAGCAGTACAGATGGCTGGCTGTATGATGTGTGGTGTACCATCAGTTACTACACATTACTCATCAAAATGAAGGGACATCTCTAACTGTGCAATCCATCTTTCTTCCACTTCTCTGTACACAAGAGTAAAATTAAAATGACCCTTGATCTCCAAACATCTATTTATAACATGGTCCTCCTATATTAAAGCTGAGGTCAAAGAACTTGCGGCTATGGAATTCTGGGAGTTGAAGTCCACAAGTTTTTAAAGTTGCCATATTTGGAGACCTCTGCTCTAGTGCATTCAATGTTATTCCTATTTTCTTCAGCCCATCTTCCAAGCTGTTTCCTTGTTGAAACACATCTGCAAAGCCCCATGCAGGAAACTTAGGTTCATGATAAATGACTATAATTGACACTTCCCATCTGCAGATTGAAATTATGTAGGTTGGCTGTTTCTGAACAACCCACCAACACAATCGACTGAGGCTGACTGAGACATTGATTTAAAAACTAACTCTATACTTTGGGGTGGTGCAACCCACTATGCTAAAATGTGTTAAGCTAGTCCATGATCTGAACGGAGCCAAGAGTTTTCTCTACTGGGCAGGGGGCAGACACTGATTTGCTGGCTGGCCAGAAAGAAAAGATCTGAGTGCATAATTAACATAAATAAAGTCTAACTCTTGCAACAGAGAATTAACCTCTATTTAAAGTTTTCAATTCCCAGCTGCTTCTTGAAAGAGATTCCTTCTTAAATTTACCCAGCCCAGTCCATAATTTGCTCTGCTGCTACTTTCATCTAAATCCCATCACTGGACATGTTTAAATCTAACCACTGGCATATCTTTTTGTTTTCATTCCAGACTCCTTTTCCAAGTATCTGCCCTTTGTTTTCTCCATCATCCTGGATGGGTTCCAACTCTACAGCATGCCTTGTTCCAGTCCCCCCCAGTATGGTCATTTCTTTAGCTCTCTCTTTGGTTGCACAATAGTAATTCTACTTCCAACAGAGAATCTCAGAATGACTCACACTTTTATCTTTCAGGATAGGATGAAACAGGCGCCCTGTCAGCATTTGGCCCTCGGCCATGCCCTGTGGCTAGGAAACTCAGAGGGAATCAGATCAAGGTACACCGAGTTCTTGATGGAAAGTTACCAGGATTTCTGATGTACCACCAACGTACCTTCAAAGATAGGACAGATCTTTCTCCAGGCAGTGATTCCTCCTTGACTGGTATATTGTCCCAAGGCTGTCTCCAAGAGGAAGACTGGAATTCCACAGATAAAGAGAAAGATGGCATATGGAATTAAGAAGGCCCCTGTTGGTAACAGAAAGGGAGGAAATGTTGGTGGAACAAATGTGATTGTTAAATGAGCTACCAAGAAGAAAACAGAAAGAAAAGAACCACACCATCTATCTCCAATCTACAACACAGTCCTTTCAACAGTTCCAAGAAGGCTCCACACCCATTTGCACCACTCAGGTGACTCTGATGAGACAGATAAATCTCCAAGTGGCCTCAACTACTTGCTAAAAGAATGCAAATGATCAGCTGTCTGCAAAGGAGTATAAATCCTTCCATTCCCCCTGCTCCCCATCCAGTCAGAGCTGAAGAAGCTTCTTGGATGAGAAGCAAATGTCTTCAAACAAAAACCAGAAAGTCCAGTTGCCTCTTGGGGGGAAAAAGCACCTTTGGAATAACCGTCTCCTTATATTTTTAAAAAAGAGCATTTCACATTAGGGTAATTATGCATATTATCCACTAAAGTTTTGCAGCACTTTGAATTTCTTTCCCAAAAGGTATTTAAGAGCAGGTGGACTACAAATGTCCCAAAGGTGCTTTTGAAAAGGTAAGTTTCAAAAGGCAATTGCCTTTTGAAAAGCACCTTTGGGACAACCATGACTTGGATGATTAAGAATCTCCATAGACATGTAGCACTTCTTTGCAGCTTTTTGAAGTGCCCTGCTTTTTTCCCCAGAGTTGTGCAACTAGGACATGTTCTGCAAGATTCTTTCCAAATCCCTTTTTAGGAATTGCATCTGAAGCACTGCACACCCTTGTTTATTGATTAAATCTATACACTGCCCATTGTCACTATTTGAGGTAACTCTAGGTGGCAAAACTGTGACACAAATTCTTGTATGAGGCCAAGAGTAAGCAACAACCCAAGGCATTCCAGCTTTTGCTGACTAGCAATATTGTTCTTTCCAAGCAGGTCATACCTCCTAGGAATATTGGTAGTTCACCAACTTCTGAAGAATCACTTGCTGTTTATCATTAAATCAGATCCTAATGAAAACCGCTTGAGAAAGAAGACAATGGTGAGAATATAGAAACTGTAAGAAAAGTTAAAGATACCAACCAGCTATGGAAGGCTCTGTTATAGAATCGAGAAGACGTTGAATAGTTATTGTGTATGACTAACATATCTGGCCTTGAAAAAGTCAATGCTTTCTCGATCTCTTTGCTACTGTTCAGTGGCATCTGGAATTTGGCAGTGCAGAAATGGTGGTCCTAATATAAAGAGTTCTATAGATAGAGGAAATTCCAAAGCTGCAAGCATTTTAGCCAAAATGTGATTCCCTGGGAACCAGGCCAGATGACTCTTAGCAATGTCTTTGTAATACATGGTTTATTTAGTTATAAACCACAAGCTAAACAAAAGTAAAAAAAAATCAGCCTCATTACTATCCTGGCAGATTTTTTGAGACGATCAGAGATTTATTTATTTGTTTGTTTGTTTGTTTATTTGTTTTTTTCTCCCTATACCCACCGATCTGAGCAAGCGACTTTGGGCAGCTCACAATTCAAAAACATGTATTAGAATTAAAATCTTAAACACATTTCAGAAGAATAAAAAGAATAAAAACCTTTCAAATACAAAAAACATTAAAACATCTCATTTGAGTCCAGGTAACCCTCAACTTACGACAACAACTGATCCCAAAATTTCTGTTGTTATGTGAGACATTTGTTCAGTGAACCTTGCTCCATTTTAGGACATTTCTTTGCCACAGTTGTTAAGTGAATCACTGCAGAGGCTATGTCACTAACATGATTGTTAAGTGCATCTGGCTTCCCCATTGACTTTGCTTGTCAGAAGGTCAGAAAAGCAAAAGGTATCACATGACTGGGACACTGCAGCCATCATAACTATGAGTCACTGGCTAAATGTCCAAATTTTGATCCCCTGACCATGGGGATGCTGTAATGGTTGTAAATGTGTGTTGAGGCCCCAACAGCGGCCAGGGGAGCTCTGACAGTGAGCAGGTTGGGGAAGAACATGGGCCAGTCCTGGAGTCTGGGGAAGGTTCTGGTGAGTGCTCTGCGTCGGAGGCAGAGATGGGGCCAGGGCCGCCTGACAGTTATCAGCTGCCTTCAGAGTCAGACATCAGTGAGGCAGAAGAACAGCTGGAGCCTGTTCCCAGTGTGTGCATATTGACAGAAGAAGGGAACAGCTGAGGAACAAGGGCCAACTTGGGAGTTGTTGTGGTTAACCGGCAGCAGGTACAGGACTGCTGAGGAGAACGAGGACTCAGATGAGGGGCCAGGACCATTAGGGAGTGGACTGCTGCCTTCAGAGATTGTGGGGGCTGGCAACAGTGATGAGGAGGTTTCTGAGGAGCCTGTACCAAGTGCACATGCATGAAGGATTACTCGGAGGAAAGAACAATTACAGCAGCACAGGTGACTCGGGAGTAAGATAATGGCCCCTCCTTCAAGAGGATAAAAGTCAGCTTTGGAAAAGCATTCTTTGCAGACAGCAAAGAAGTTCTGAGACTCAGCCTCGTGGACATCATAGTTAGTATTTGAAAACTCTTGGAAAATAGTTCTTATCTCTGGGTTTTTGGCAACATTGACAAACAACTTGGCAAGGCTCTTTCTTGTCGGAGCTAATTAGTTGGAAGCATCCTTTTACCTGTGAAGAAACAGAATTCGTGGATTAAACCTTAAAAGGTGGGGGCTGCTGCCTTTGTTTTGTGTTTTCTCTTTTGGAACCAGGTTGGGTCAGAACAGGAGTAAAGGCAGAGGTGGACAGTGAATGGCCCCTCCCCTAGAGTATAAAAGAGGAGTGAAAGGGGAGTGGGGCTTGGTGAAACTATTAGTTCATTCCAGCATGCTTGCCAAGTATTGCGGCCTCTGAAATCGGCCTAGCCACTCTCCAAGCCTGATAAAGGTCTGTAACTGAGAACTATTGAAAGACTGTTGGCCGGGACTTTGTTGAAGAAGAAATTCATTGTAAATTAAATAAAAGAGGTTTATCGGGATGACGACTTAGCTCCGTGCTGTTGGGGAAGCCTAGGTCAGAACAGTGTGAAAACTGTCATAAATCACTTTTTCAGGGCTGTTGTAACTTTGAATGGTTACTGCATGAATTGTTATAAGCCGAGGACTAGGTGTACCATGCAAGGTATGTAGAATGCAAATGAACTCAATGGATCTTTGGACTTGAGAATGCTGAAACAACCCTTTTTGTCTATGCCAAACTTACTTTTTTTCATTTGTTATCTTATCAGTACAACCTCTGTGCAAATTGCTTCCCAAGCCCATAAAAGTTGATTGAAAGTAGGATCATATAAGACAAAGAAGGTTCATCAGCAATGGATTTTTAGTAGTGTAGTCATTCATTGATTTAAGAATTTCCCACTCTCTTCCTTAATTGAAATACAAAAGCAGCAACCATTAAAGTGCTGTTTTTTTTTTTTTAAAGAGATATTTCACAACTTGATCCTGGGTTTGTGGCCAAGGCAGAGATCTGTGAATCAAAATCAGCAAATTTATTTTCAGGGTGTTTCATGATTCTAATCTTTCCATAGACAAAGGCACATGGATTTCCATGTGCAAATCCACTCAGATATAAAGAAAAAAAATGGGCCTTCTTTCATACTTTAATTTGGTACTTTTCCCTATTATTAAATCACTCACTTGATATAGGAAATCTGGAAAACACCTGGTTTAAGCTCTGATTGTGTATCAGGGCCTACATGAATATCAGAACTGAATTAGCAAGGAAGGCACTAATAAGAAGCTAAAGTCCAGTTTCTGTTCTGAACATAAGATACTCTTAAGAATTTGTGGACATGGTAAATGAATAAAAGAGTTAGAGGGAATACGCAACACCACAATAGTACTTAATCTACAAATAATCTGAGACTCAAAGTTTGGGGGCCTTTAAGTGAACAGGAACTTTGAATCCTCAGACTTTTCCAAGAGTATTTGTGGAGCTTGGAGTTTTGGAATGCAAGAATTTTCTCGCTCACACTTTGTGTCTTGCAAGCTATCTGTTCTAATTTGCTCAAAGGAATTGTCTCAGTGGCCAACCCATAAGGTTATAAACTCCATCCATTTTTTGAAAAGAAAAAAGAAAAAAAAGAAAAAGGAAATATGCTTTGTACTCCACACTGACCCGTGTTTTCGGGACTGTTGCAATTGTCCATCTGTTTGCCATACTCACATTGTGTTTCCTAGAAAAAAAATCCTGATTTTGTTTTGTATGGATGTTTGTCTAGTCCTGACAACAATAACTCTGAGTGAGATGCATTCCCAAGATGGACAATTAACTACAAGGCCTCAGCAAGGAGCATTTCCCTCTGGCCTGAATGCTAGACATGTTAAAAACATTAGATCTCTGACATCCTCAGCTATTTTCTCAGCACCAATTTAAATCCGGATAACTGGAACTTGAGACCAAAAATAAAAGGACAGTACCTTATTTTGCAACCACACTGAACCCAATGAGATACATGGAATAATGTATCATCCGCTGTATGTTATAAAAATGTGGGTCATTCCGAAACATCAGTTTCTAGTACATCAAGTGTGCAATATTTCGTTAGCCTTTGGTTACCAGAACTTCATCAAGAGCTTCTGCTGACGGATAGCCTGTTCCCAGTTTCTCAAGCACAATATGTTATCACTGGGAAAATGTGATTTCCTGTACCATTATTTAGTCAACAGTCTACACTGGGATTACAAGTAAAATATAGCCAGTGGTGGGATTCAAAATTTTTTACTACCAGTTCTGTGGGCGTGGCTTGGTGGCCATGGTGTAGCTTGGTGAGTGTGACTTGGTGGGCATGGCAGAGGAAGGATACTGCAAAATCTCCATTCCCTCCCCACCCCACTAACCTGCTTTCCAGCTCCGTTCTCCTGTGCAGGGCGACAAAAGAAGACCCAGCCAATCAGCTGGGACTCGAGAGGCAGAGAATAGATGGGGGTGGGGCCAGTCAGAGGCGGTATTTGCCAGTTCTCCAAACTACTCAAAATTTCCAATATCGGTTCTCCAGAATTGGTCAGAACCTGCTGAATACCACCTCTGAATGTAGCTATAGAAATGTGAGGAATCCTTATTAAACTAAGTATGTTGAGCTGTTAAAAATCCTAATGATTCTACCACTCTCTGTAGATTCTCCATGCATATCAATATTTTAAATTAATTCTTACGGGGTGGTATGCTCATTTATCATATTCATTCACTTTGGTATCTGCAGTGGAACAAAGGGGATCAAAAGATGAAGGAACGCAATATTGTAATGCAAGCCCCGCCCCTTTTCTATATGCACTATAATGTGAGATACACATATACAGATAGCCCTTGACTTACAACAATTCATTTAGTGATCATTCAAAGTTACAATGGCATTGAAAAAAGTGACTTATGACTGTTTTCCCACAGTTATGACCTTTCCAGCATCCCCATGATCACCTGATCAAAATTCAGATGCTTGGCAACTGGTTCAGATTTATGACCATTGATGTATCCCAAAGTCACGTGATCCCCTTTTGCGACCTGACAAGTCAATGGGGAAGCCGGCTTCTCTTAACAACCGGATTACTAACTTATCATCTGCCTCTTAACAACTGAAGGAAGGAAGGTCATATAATGGGGCAAAATTCACTTAACAAATGTCTCACTGAACAACAGAAATGTTGGGCTCAATTGTGGTCATAAGTCAAGGACTATCTATATAAAGGGAAGTCCTTGTACTGTGAAAATGTGCCATAACAGCCACAAAGGCTGTTTATGTTTGTTAGACTTACATATCCTATTAGCCAATAACCAAGTGTAGCCTGGGTATTTATTTATCCCAATCCTGTATTATAAAATCTTGTAGTTAGGACTCATGCTGTTATACTGTCTCTCATGCAGTGTCGCAAGTCTTCTATTCCTCTCCTCGGGAGCTTCTTGTCAATGCTGGTGTTTCATTTTTGTAGCGTTTGATTGCACTTGGCCAATCACCTGACGTTTCCTTGGAGGGCTGAGAGGTAGCCCTCTTGTGGAGTACTGTGAAGCCATTACCATGGCAAGCCCACTGTGCTGTACAGTAGAAGCCATTTTAAGGCACACACACACACACACACACACACACACACACACACACACCCCGAGGGATTTTAGGGGTGTCTTATACCCACAGTATTTGTTTCCAGAGGGTAAATAATCTGTGTACCAAGTTTGGTTGAAATTGCTTGAGACATTCCAGACTTATGCTGGAACACACACACACACACACACACACACACACACACACACACACACACAGGTCTGTTTTTATATATATAATAAAGAAAGAAGAAGATTGTTCCTCCAGAAGTTCAAGAACCATACCTAGCACTTCCTCCTACAAATTCTTCCAAAAGTTAGATTGGACCAGGAGCGATGGGCTAGGGGTAAGTTCACCCTTACTCATTGAAATGGCTTGCATCTCCCTGTTTCTTTTCATTTCCTTAAATGCTACACTAATGCTGCTCATTACAGACTCTTGCCAACTATAGTAGACACGTAAAATTCCAGACAACAGCTGCTACTATCTAATAGTCATATAATATAAATAGGAATATTTATGACCATTCGATAGACATGGTCATTTTCCATTCCCATTCCATGTCCGTTCTATTTCTTCCCTCGACCAAGGATTTTGGCACAATTTTAAAGCAGAAAGTCTAACATATGGAAGGCTGTACAGATTTGTGATTTTCCTACTGATAGGGACAAATATGCGGCTCGTAACATTTTGCATTGCCAGCACAAACAATGTGCAAACAATCTGTCACATCAAATATGATGATGAGATGTTATCTGACGATTCACAGGTTGATCCATCACCCAATGATTTTATTATGAGTTGTTCATTTTACATTGTAAATGTTTATAGCCAGTTTTATGTTTTAATCTCTATATTGCACATGGTGTGCTAATTTGCAACTTCACGTTTGTTTCAAAGCTGTTGCCTAATAAGCAATGGTCACAAGCAATTACATGACACTGACAAATTAGGGATATGGGATACTTACCACCTCCATTCTTGTAGCAGAGATAAGGAAATCGCCAAACGTTTCCCAGACCGATGATCTCTCCAGCCACAGAAAGCACATATTCTACTTTGTTGGTCCACTGGCCTCTTTCTTCTAGCTCATCCTCCCCCTTCCGTGGCTTTGCCTTTGTCTCTGGCACAATCACAGTCCCATTGAGCTCCACATCCCAACTCTTTTTGTTCCCCATGGCCCTGAAAGTTTAGGAAAGATTGAGAGAAAAGAAGATCACAACGTGATACAAGATGGTGGCATCGTAAGGTGCTTGGTTAGCATCCTGAGCAGGTATCCTGGATACCTGAAAGTAACCAAAAAGAAAAGCCATGAATTTGTTACTTGAAAATGAACAGAGATGGTACAAAGCACTTCGCTGCATGTCTTAGACTAGCAAATGGTACCTCCAGGGGTGGGCTGCTGGGGGTTCACAGGGGTTCAGGAGAGCCCCTAGCTAAGATTCTCCTGGCTGGCCCCATCCCACTCTACCACACACACACACACACACACACACCAGGAATCCCCATGCAGCCCGTTTTGCATGCAGGTAAGTGCAGGGTGCGTGCAGAGGCTCGGGGAAGCTGAAAAACGGGCCTCCCGGATGTTTGGGAAGGCCAGAAATGGGTCTGTTTCCAGTTTCCAGAGAGTTTCCAGAGCCCAGGGAAGCCGTTTTCGCCCTCCTGGAGGCTCAAGGAAAGCCTTCAGAGCTCGAGGAGGGCAAAACGTCTACCCGCCTACTGTGGTGCAGGAGGCCAACTAGGCTACATCCACCTTGGCCACACTCACCCAGCAACCAGGCAGAGAACTCTTTGCTAAAAAAATTTAAGCCCACCCCTGGGTACCTCTCTTTCCTTCAATCAGGATTCTGGTCTCCAGGCCTTCAGATTATTTCATTGACACACACACCCAGGTGGATCCTTTAATTCCTTTACTAAAAATCCCCCAAACTCCTCTTTCTGAGCGTAAAAATATAACACTAACAAATTAGACAACTGGCTTTATATATCAGCCAAAAAAACACGATTGCTTAAAGCGTCGGATTCATTCTGCTTAATTGGTCATGCAATTTTCTTTGGCTCGGTTCTGCGTTGCAATTCAGTTTCCCTAATCCCCCCAGCCAGCCTGGCTTTCTAGCTAGAGAATCTGAGAGTAGAAATTGTCTTTGTGAAATGACTGTGGGGCTATGGCAGGTCCAGAACTTACTATGGTGATTAATACCTATTCTGAACTTATTGCATTAGCAATGGGTTTCGATGGTCAGTTGAAAACATTATTTATCACATATAAGCATATAATGTAGCACCACGATATGTCAGAAACAGTCTTGACAAATGTTACTTTCCTCAACCAACCCAAACATCCAGAGAAAGTCTCTAGACAATCTCATTCTCATGGGGGATAACCCGGATATCTTTTGCAACACGAGTGCTCATTCTCTGGAATGCAGTCCCGACCAGAGGTATGTTTGGCCCTCTGGCCCTCTTTGCATTTCATCACCATATAAAATTATATACTGAAGGATAACAGGTTCAAGAATTATTTTAACTCTCTCTCTCAACACGCCACCTTTTTGCATTTCTTTCTTTTTAGCTCACTCATTTCCCCTTCCATTCCAATTCTCTTTCCTAATTTGCATCTTCCACTGATCAGTGGAAACCACTTTCAATCTGGCTGAAATAGTTTTTATCTACCACCAACTCTTTTGCGCATTTACTTTTTCCGTCAACAAATTTGCACTTGCTGTGCAAATCAGCCTTGTTGTTCCTCAGTCATCTCACCCTGCTCCTTTTGTCAAGAACTTTAGAGATCTTTCTTTGAGACATGGCATCTGACCAACCAGCTAGGCTGAAAATCCATTCAGAGCAGATTCCTCCTCCAGCTTATTACTTCAGTGCTCAACAGATTGAAAAACATTATTTTCTAAAAGAACCTCAGTGGAGCAGCTGTCACTCCAAACTGTTACTACAAATGCAAATCATTCAGCACAACGGAGTTTTTTTTCCTCCCCACACTGAAATTATTGAGATTAGCATCAGTTCATCGGCATATTAAGGATGAATCAAGCAAATCTACAGTACATTACTGTAACACTATTACTGTTTTAATTATTATTTATTTTAAGACGGTGGTAACATGATCTTTCTCATTAAACGCTCAAGTAGCAGACTCACCCGACCAACTGGAAGTCAATAGATTGCTGTCCCTAACTTTATGATCTCCAGGTTTATCTCCAAATCACCCTAGATTATCCACTTGGGAAGTTTGATGTGCTATAAAGTAACAGAGCTGAAGACTGCTTTTCCTTTACCATGCTGGCATAGATTTCTTGGCCCTATTGCAGAAACTGAAATCTGAGATGCAGAGCCACAAATGCAGAGAGGCAGATTCTACTGGAAGAAATTCCTAACAGTGCTAATAATTTCACAACTCTGCAGAGAAGTGAAATTTTTCACTTGAAGGAATTTTTTTCACTGGAAGTGCTCAGATAAGAGTCCATTCCGCATCTTTTGGGAATACATTAGTTTGGCTTCTTGTAGTGAGAAGAGCATTTTGACTTATGACTTTCCCCTAACTTCCCATGGTGAAATGCCAGACAAACCGTATTTTGACAAAATGATTAAATTAGTGGGCCAGCGAAATGCCATGGACATAGTATACTTGGGCTTCAGCAAGGCATTTGATAAAGTAGATGACTACTTCTTAGTAAGATTGGAAGATATGCAATAGGCAGCATCACCACCAGATGGATTGATAACTAATTGATGTAGTCCTCAATGGAACTACATCTACATGGGGGGAAGCATATAGAGGGATACTCCAAAGTTCTGTCTTAGGCCCAGTACTCTTCAAAATCTTCATAAATGATGTTAAATAGATGAGGGAATAGAAAGGGAAATAATCAAATTGGCAAAAAAAGCAAATGCCGTCCTAGGCTGCATCAACAGAGAGATAGTATCAAGGTCACATTCATACCCCTTTATACTGTTTTGGAAAGATCACATTTGGAATACTGCATCTAGTTTGGTTTTGGGTTTTTTTGAAAATTGTATTGATTTTTAGAAACAAACATAAACAAACCAAACATAACACAGAAACATAAAACATCTTTTTTGAAAGCAGCATGATCCCGGGTTACATCTCTTCGTACAGACACAAATTCAAGTTCATGCTCATTTTTATATTCCATTCCATATCTTATTACCACTCTACATTTTCTATATAGCTTCTCCCCTCTTTTAACTTTCTTAATTTTATTTTATTTATTTCATCTCAATTCAAATCATTATACTTATATTCTTTGTCTGTCCTGTTTCAACTGTCTATTATCTTTTCTCATTAAACAAAATTTCTCCTCCTCTCTTCAGTTCATCCAGAAGTGATGCCACTGTAGATTTTTTTAAACAACCACCCAATTGTTTTTAGTCATTCAAATATAATTTCAAAAAATCCCAAAGTCACCAAGCAATCCAAATATACACAAGCTGTTTCTTTTAACACTTTCTTCTTTTTTCACTTTCTCTTCCTGGGGTTACTATTTAGTTGCAAAGTTCCAGTTAAAATGTATCTTTTAGAAGTCTTATTAAGATTTAACTTTAGATTCTTTTGAATTCCAGGCAGACTCCTCCTTCCAAATCCTGCCCTTATTCTTTTCCTCTCCCTTTCCCACTTATAGCAAAAAAAGGATTTTTTAATGTTCAGAAATCTTTATTGTCCCTTTGGCATTTAATTGTATTTTCAGCTTAATTGCCTATTGATGCCAAAGCAGATTTTTCTGATTTCTTACTCAGCTCTCTTCGTTATCAACATGAGGAAGGAGAGTGAAGAAAAAAAAACCTTTCCCTTTTCACTTTCATTCGCTGCTTCCGATTCTTCTTTGGGAGTGATGTTATCTTTTATAAAATTTAAATTCCAGGGTACCTTGGTTGTTGTTTTTTATCCCAGTCAGCCAAAACTTTCACTTCTTAGCTTCCTCCTGCACTTTCTTTTCTGGTTGAGTGCTTCTTTGAGGCGGCCATTTCTGACCACCACTCTTACCGCCTTCGGGAAAGGGAGTTTGGCCAGCTGAGGAGGAGAGATGCGGCTCTCCTCGACCCTGCTGGCGCTCCCCTGTCTTCACCACCTCTACGGGGTGGCTTAGCCCCGAAGCCAGCTGGCTTGGGGCACTCCAGCGGCGAGCCCAGGCAGAAACCGTGCACAATCGCGGATTCCTGCCTGCCGCCGAAGCCCTGCAAACTGGAAGTTCTGAATACTGCATCTAGTTTTGGTCAATAGATAAAAGATGGTTACACTCTAGAAAGAGTGTAGAGAAGAGCAACAAAGATGATTAGTGGGCTGGAAGCCAAAGCATATTACGAACGTTTGCAGGAACCAGGTATGTCTAGTCTAGCAAAGAGAAGGACTGGGGTGACATGATAACAATCTTCCAATAATTGAGGTGCTATCACAGAGAAGAGGGGACTCCAAAGCACCTGAGGGCAGGACCAGAGGTGGTATTCAGCAGTTTTGGAGAACCGGTAGTGGAAATTTTGAGTAGTTCGGAGAACCGGCAAATACCACCTCTGACTGGAGATTTTACATTATCCTCCCCTGCCATGCCCACCAAGCCACGCCCACAGAAGCAATACTAAAAAAAAAAAATTGAACCTCACTACTGGGCAGGACAAGAAGTAATGAATGGAAACCTATCGAAGAGAAATCCAACCTAGAACTAAGGAGAAATTTCCTGACGATGAGAAGAATTAATCACTGGAATTAATCAGTGCTCCATCACTGGAGGTTTTTGAGAAGATATCAGACATCCATTGGTCCAGAATGGTGTAGGGTCTCCTGCTTGAGCAGGGGGTTGGACTAGAAGACCTCCAAGGTCCCTTCCAACTCTGTTATTCTGTATTCTAAATGAGGATAATGGAAAAGAGATTTCACAAACATAAGAATGAATACCAAGCAGTCAGGGACTGCAAAGTTCCTGAACAATGTTGCATGGTTTATATTTCCCCAAAACAGGAAAACAGATCATCCACAAGCTCCAGTTCTGCAAAATAAAGGACCTTCTTTCAAATCATTTGGCTCAGAACCAGAAAAAGCTGACTAAGCTCTCAGGAGGAGCCAAAATCCAACATCTAAGTCATGTCGAAAGCTGATTTTTAACTGGTAGAAAGTCTTCACGTGGAAGGGTCTAACAGTAGAGAAGAACTGGGCA